GGTCCGAAACGCGCGCGCGACGGTGTGGTGTCTGCGGCAACGTCAGACACAACTCTAGAACCTGTCAAGTAGTGATTACTTCGTCTGAAGAAGAGGAATTTAAGTAGTTACAAACATTTCTATGCGTTGTGGTTGCGTGTAGGTCAAAAATGTCGAGGTGGTCGGGTTGAGGTGTTTCACTCGCTTGTCTGTTTCACTCGCTTATCATGCACGTTATACTTGTCAAACTTACCTTAGGCACTAACCTACCCAGGAGGCATTCCCAGCCTTGTTCTTTAACCAGAAGGCTAGTATATGTACGGAGTAGGCATACTACAGTATATAGTCTAGGCCAAGGCTCCCCCTATACCCCCTTAATAGCGAATAGGGAACATTCCAACCTTTAACAATACTAGATTATGTGATCCATGATCCATGATCCATGCCAGGATCGACAATTCGATCTGACCACAACAAAGAGCAATGCTATGCTATGCTATGCCATTCATTCATTCATTAGGGATTTTCTTATTTCTCATTCACGACTGGTGCGACTAATATATCAGATCCAGACACCATGTCCGTCGCCTTCGCCTACGCCTACGCCTTCGCCTTTCTTACATTCAAATTTACATCTGCAATTACATGTGCATTTGCATCTGCGTTTGCATTTACTCCTGCTCGCATACCCAGCTACCAGGACTGGAGTTTTCGTCTTTTTCCTTGTACCTGCTATTTGCTACTGGCTATTTGCTATATAAGTACACCTACCTGTATCCATACCCGTACCTGTACTTGTACAAGAAGGGCCATCTCATCTCATTACAGAACCAGAACCCGAACCAGGGCCAGGACCAGAAATGGAAATAGTATACATCTAATCAGTGAGAGAGGATGGGCTGATCGGTTACTTGATCGGTTACTTGATCGGTCGGTTAGGTATAGAAAAGGAGTCCGGGAAAGCGAAATCAAAGGCTTAGGCCCGGAAGGAAATCAGTCCATGAAACTGGGCTTGATAGCAAGTCTCATTGCATTGGCGATAGATCTAGATATAGTAGATATAGTGGGATACCTAGTACCTAAGAGCCGGTTTTATCTGTGAGGTTGGAGTGGATCGACATATTCCGTACATGCCAGTGTCTAGCTAAGGCAGATAGATACATGATGCAGACGGCAGCATATCGTCTACCACCCAACAACCAACACCCAACGACCAATACCGAGATACTGTACGACACACGTTTGCAGGTGTGTACTAGACTGTCAGTATTGGGCATCAGCCTCGCCATAATTCTTGCCCTTGCAGATCAGGCTGAACTTCATCGGCCCCGACTGGATCTCGACGGACAGCAAGAAATGGAGGCGCCAATACTCGGTAGTGACGCCGGTGGTGGACGACACCTTTGTGCGTTTCTCAAACGCCTCGTCCGGCACCTTGGAGAGATCGCTGGTGATGGTGCAGTTCTTGACCACGGCTATATATCCATGACACGGTCTAGTTAGCCCTGGTGTGGCACGACATTGTCCTCCAGTACTCCAACCACCAACTCACAACCACACTGCTAGCAGATCGGACGGTGGGATATGGGGACAGGATGACAGGGGGACAAGAGGACAAGAGGACAAGAGGACAGTGGGAAATCAGACGCGAAACTCACAAGGACCCGGGTGTCGAGGCTGCTTGTCCAGCGAACACTCCCACAGCGTAGTGTCGAATTTCAACTGAGTCGCACTCGGATGTGGCTCGTAGCTGCGGTAGAAGGGAAATTCGATCTTGCGAGACCTCAACATGTCATCGCCACGGGTGATGTACCACGTGAGTTTCTGCACGCGGTATCGTTCCTCATGGTCGTCCCAGATCTTACTCTGGCCTTCGTCTTCGCTGGGGTCGTAGGGCGCGCGGGCAGAGATGCCGTAGTGCTTGCGGGCAATGCTGGACACCACCTCGGCTTCTGATGGCAGGTGGAACATGACGGCGCCTCGCACGATGGCTGACCAACTAGACCAGAAGACCATGTCAGAAATAGAGACAGATTCCCGAATGAGAATGAGAATGTTGATGGTTGAGGGTTGCATATCCGTCACTTACGCGTCGTTGGGCTGGATGACTTGGGTATCTGGGTAGGCGCTCTTGATGGATTCGCACAGATAGTTGCTGGAACCGAAGCCGCCGACAAGGAAAATGGCCTGCATGGGTGTTGAGTGACTTGTAAGCAGGTTGCTTGGAGTCAGGCCGCCGAATCCAACAAACCTTGATCTGATATCCCTTCGGATGGTTGTCCTTCATGCGCTTGATGCGCACGTCATTGACTTGCTCCTTGACCAGTTTGTCAATGTCTTTGAACAATGGGTCGAACAGATTGTGCAGTGTCTTCCTGTACACGACCCCCGTCAGTCTCAACTGCCGGAAGCTGGATGAAGTGTTATAGTTACCCTGTGACGACAAGAGTGTCATTGATGAGCCCCTTGGCTTCGTTGTCCTCGAGTTTGGCCCGCGGAAAGCTGACGTATTGGTCCTCGTCCTCGGCGGATTGAAAGCCCGGCTTGATGGTCTCATCGAAGTGCCTCATACCCCGGCGATACGCGTCCTTTTCTTTGAGATCGAGGTAAGCTCGCTCGCCAACCACATCCTTGATCCATTCTTCGAACCTCTTGTTCAACATCAGCGACCCAGCAATCCCACCTAGAACCCAAGATGGTCAATATGACATGCTCATATGGGGTGTGGGGCGGACGAAGCATATATAACATACCAGAAGCTGATACCAACTCCTTGACCTGAAGCGGCTGGATTTGAAGGATCTCGTACGAGATCAGATCCACCGTTCCACCCCCGGCATCACACAAGACAAAAGCATCGCCGACTTCGAGACCTTTGTTCTTCATGTGATGCAACGTGTAGAGGGCGGCTGCTTCCGGCTCCTTGACCAGCTCCACGTTCGTGATGCCCGCATTTCTCGCCGCCTAAACGGATGTCACGGTGAGCGAGGCTCTGGAAGTACTGGACGTCGGGTCGCTTACTTGCAAGGTCGCCTTTTGAGCCTTCTCGGACCACACTGCGGGAACGGACAGGACGTATTTCTTTGGCAGCATATCCAGATAGTCGGGAGAATACTTGCCCGCGATGTGTTGCTTTGCATGTTTGAATATCGCACTGATATAGTCGGTCGCTACTTCAATCGCCGGCTTGCCCAAGCGCTTGAGCTCGGCCTCGGTGTTGACGAGAGAGACGTAGACTGGTCTCGATTGGTCTGGGTCAAGAAGGAGTTTGACCCCTTCTATACGCTCGGATGTTGTCCGGTCAAGCTCACAGCCCCATTGGAGGCCCTTTTTGCTGTCGTACTTGACCAGAGTAGGGCACTTCTGATATGCTTTACCCGGGGCGCCGGGCCATTCTTCCACCAGATAGACTGAATCTGGCTTGGATGTAAATGCGTAGGCCACGCCACTGTAGGTGGTGCCAAAGTCCTAGCCACATCGACAGGTTAGCTGGTGTGTGCAGGTGAAGGGTACAGTGCCAGAGAAGATGAAAAATGAACAGACCAGCGCGATGATCAACTTGTCGCTGTCATCGTCATCGATTTTGGTATCATCCAGGTCGTCCGTCATCTTGCGAAGGGTGGGTGAGACTGGCGGCGAAGGCATGGTTACTGTATGCAGAGCTGAAGTTGGAGAGGCAAAGTGGGCCAGGAGTGGGCGTCCAACGCGCATACATATACCCCGTATTCATTGTGCGAACCTCAGCCTCAAGGGCTAGACAGAAGGCGGTAGCCAGACTGGACAGCTGTCTCCTGGACGCGGGCAACTTGCTTTTCCCTTGTTCCACTCTGTAACATGGGCGCTTTCAGAATATGAGCTGTCGTGATGGAAATATGGCATGCTCTCGAACGTCGATTGGCCGTGTATCAGCCACCAAGCGTCCAGACTCGCAATGATGCTGTCTCAGGGGGAGCCAGCCGCCAGCCTCAGCCTGATTGTAGTCGTCAACTTCACCATCCTCTTTCCCCCTCCAAATTCAGCGTAGATGAGCGGCGACTCCGCGACCAATTGCTTCACGCCAGAATTTCTCCCTGTAAAAACGAATGGCAGGTTGTGTGGTGAAGATTCCATGCTGAGGTTGAGGTTGGTTGTGAGGCTGAAGCCCCAGCGGGCTGGCAGCTCTCATCACCTGCATTAGCGTCCTACCCTGGTCACCCCCGTGCAGGAGAAGTGCCATAAAAAGACTCGTGCTGAGTCTCGACCAGAAGAAGGGGGGTCTTCAGCCCGCCGCCGTATTTCATGATTTCCTCCCTCTTTCAGAACTCTGTTTGTGTGTGTGTTAATCCTCTTACCCAAGTTCCTGATTCCTCGGTTACCTACCACAGGTATAGAAATAACTGTCAGGATGTCATCCCGGCCTCATAGTCGCAGTGGTCAAAGTCGGAATCAAATTCTGCCTCCGCGTCCTGACTACAGACAAGACTTCGCTGAATTGCGGAGACTGGGGGACGCACTTGCCGCCACCTTCAATGAGTTCAAAACTCGCGATTTCCCCAGCAAGATGGAGGACATGCGGCAGCACCTAGTGCAACTGCAGTCCGTCATTGAGCACTCACCAGAGAGCCGGGTATGTCGAAGAGACTAAGAGACAGTCAGATTTGTACTGATCGTGGTCGACGTCCCAGTCCAAGTCAGAACAGGTCAAAGGAAAGATGGATTTCCTCGAGGCCCAAGTCGAATCACTTGAAACAGAGAATGCAGGCCTCAGGAAGCAGTATCAAGCCAAGGATCGGCAATACAAACAGCTGAGTACGGCGATGCACGACAAAATCCACAAAGACGGCGACAGAACCGACGATGAATTGATCAAGAAATTTACCGCGTTCCAAATTGAGATACAAAATTTTCTGCATCGCCTGTTCATCCTTGGGCCTGTACAATGGATATCACCCGAGTATGGTCTGCAGGACAAGGAAGACCAAAAGTCCTATCTGGAGCACCGAATTGCCAGTCTCGTGAGCGAACATATTTTTGGGCGCGATGGCATGGCTCGAGGCATTTTCGGAATGGAGCAGGCCCACGAGGGCACGTTGAGTAAGCTGGAGAAGAAGTTTTATAAGGAAGGAGGTGCGTGTGTCTATGACTGACGAGTGAAGCATTGCCTGTGGCTGTTGCTAACCGCTCACCGGCCCTAGCATCGGAATTCGACTTCTTGGACGGATGGAGAGCGCAGACTGTCCAGCTGATCCGGCAAACGAACAGCCGTTCCACCGACCGACCTTCGAAGGCCTTTGGAGATGCGTTCGACCAAGATGTGAGGCGGCATCTCCAGCTCGAGGCACCGCAGGAGGAGTGGCTTCGCCAGGGGATTTTGCAGCTCTATGCGAGAGCAACCGAAGCCGCTCTGGAGCTCCGAGAGCGGAAGACACGCTACGTGTGGGCGCATGCAGAAGAGGTGCGGTCGACCGATGCGTTTGAGGTGGAGGATCAGCCTCTGCCTCTGGTCAAAGGCGTCAGTGGTAGAGAAGGGGAGCAGGTGGAGCTGGTCCTGTTCGGGCCTCTGTACCGAGTCGAAGAGGATGGGAGACGCTTGGTCATCAGGGCGGGCAGCATGCTCAGGTGGCAGTATATTGCCTCTAGGTAGGTAGCTGCGACTGCGCATGGGATTAGCCGCAGGCTGAAGGATGAAGGCCTGCTTCTGAGGTATGGAGTGTCTCTTTCTACCACCTACTAGGTAGGTACCTGGTAGGTATCTAGTACTATCTCGAGTCTAGCAGCAAGGCAATATTCTGTATTCAGTTAGCCCGCTGGCGCGGCTAGAGCAGCCACAACCACTTGGCTCTGCATAGAGTAAAGCGGCGTCTGAGCGCAGTCGCCCATGGCTGACCTCAGACCTCAGACTCGGTACCGAAGCCGAATTCGAAGTCGCCTCCGTCGGCCATGCCCTCGAGCTCGCGCTCGCGAAAGGCCTAAGCCTTGCAGATCAGATCCTGCCAGGTCTCGCTGCCGACAGACAGCCTCTTTGCCTACCCAGTAGTACTCCATATGGGCCCTGAAATGCAACTGCGTCGACGACAAAACATCGCTTGTCTGACGTGCAAGCGGAGAAAGGTGCGGTGCGACGCCGCCGAAATCGCTCTCCCCTGTACGCCGTGCCGCCGAGGGGGTCTTGAATGCAGTCCCAGCCACAAAAGACCGACAGGTCCTGCTCCTGCTCCTGCTCCTGCTCCTGCTCCTGCTCCTGCAGCCAGACCGCGAACGACAGTCTCATCGACGCCCACAGCCACGGCCACGGCCACGTCGCACGCTGGGACTACCCACGCCCCCAGGGTATTGCCTGACGAGGACGCCCCTTACCCCCCGGAGACGGAGACGGAGACGGAGACTGCTGAGCCTTCTCCAGGCCCCGGCCAGTCAAAGGAACCGGCGATCAGCACGAGTCTTTCATCGTTCGTCGAGCAAGGCATCACAAACTCGGAATGGAAGCTGTTTTCAGGCTCGGATCCTCTGAGACTGGTGTATATCGGCACAGGCTGCAGCAATTTGGCCACCCTCGTAGACAATGAACAGCCCGGCAATAACACCATCTTATTCCCCTTTCCTGCCATCAAGCAGCCTTTACCCTGGAAGCCGAAAGCTGGGGTGCTCCCCTTCTCCGTCAGTAATGACTTGCTCCACGATGTGGGTAGCGTTCCTGAGCGCGAGGTGCGAGACGCCCTGGTTGACGCTTATTTCCGACATATCCATCCCACCTTTCCCTGCATCAGTGAACCACTGTTTCGGCGGCAATATGCAGACCCTCGAAATCCGCCGCCGTTGATCCTGCTGCAGGCGGTCCTGCTGGCGGGATCTCACGTCACCGACCATCCTCTGGTGGCGGGGGCGCGTTCGACGGTGAAAAGCACGCTGTACCGACGGACCAAAGAGCTGTTTCACATTCGGTACGAGAACGACCGGTTGTACCTGGTGCAAGCCGCGCTGCTAATGACATGGCACCAAGAGAATGCCGACGAGGTCAGCTGTAATACCTGGGCCTGGACGGGGAAGGCGACTCGCATCGCCTTTGGGCTGGGTGCACATCGCGAGCTCTCGTCACGCGGGCCTCTCTCGATGCCGGCCTGGGACCGTCGAAGATATCGGTTTACGTGGTGGACCCTGTTCCACACCGAGACGTTTGCAGCCTTACACTTCGGCCGGCCATGTTCCATCCGGTGGGAAGACTTCGACGTGTCGGACTTGACATCGGACGACTATCTCGACCCGGACGACAATGCCGACCCCACCATCCGCCGAGACTGCTTCGAGCTCAACATCGCGCTCAGCTACATTGCCCAGGACGCCATGAACTTGTTTGCCCCGAGAGCACCTCGCTTGTCCACCGGCACCGGCACCGGCACTGTCTCCGCCTCGCTCAGTTCGCGATTGGCCTCGTTGGCGGTGACCCTGCCGTCAGGCGACGACGGGTTTTCCTGTCAAGCCCGGCTCAATTACCATCTGGTGTTGCTTCACTGCCACCGCACCAACCGGTGCGACCGTGTCTATGTGGACGTGGACGTGGACGAGCACAGGCGGAGTGAGGCGCTCAAAGTCCGGTCCGAGGCGGCCTCGGCCATGCTGTCCATTCTCGAGATCATGCTGGCCAAGGACTACATCCGCCAGTGCCACTTTACCTGCAACACCGCCCTTATGGCCGTGGTGGTGCAGTTCATCGAGGATGTCAAGCTCGCCATCGACGCCAACTCGATCATCCTCGCTTCCGGCGCCCATGCCAAGCTGGGTCGGGTTATTGGGCCAGCCAGGGAGATTGCCAGGTACTGGCCCAACGCCGAGGCCATTCTCAAGATGTGTCAGAACCAGCACGAGAAATTCGGGCTTGTCATCCAGACCTATGTCAATGCCTCATCCCCGCATGAAATTGAATCCGTGCCCGTAGGTGTCGGTGTCGGCGTCGGCGGGGCCTCGGACGGCTTCTTGAAAGATCTTTGCTCTGCTTACGACGGCCACGACTTTTACTTTGGCCAGGATTTTGGCCACAGCTACGAAGGGGCCGACTACGGCTGGATGAATATGCCGAGCTTCGCCTCCAACTAAGGTAGGGGTAGTGTGTGACCAACATTAATGGCCCTCCCAAGTTTCGTCCTGTTTCATGTCTTGTTGACAGCTGGAGCTGGAGAGAGCAGATGGCCATGGATACTGTATATGATGCCTGAAGCCGCAAGACGTAGGTGTTGGTGCTGGCTGTTTGAATAAGGGTTGGCGTTTGTAGGTGCCTCGGTACCGACTCGTCCACGGCTTAGGCCTCCTAAGCCTTCAACAGGCTCAGCACAGTACTGGGTAATACATCTTCGCAAACTGAACGGATACTCAAGCCTACCGGATCGTCGGGGTCAGGGTCAGAGTTCTATTCCTTCTATTTCTTCTATTCCTCTATTCCTACGCTCGCTGTCTCTGCTTACGGCCTGCCCAAGGCTTTCTCTATCTCCACTAGAGCCGCGAGCACCTTTTCGTCGTGGTTCCTTCTGCCAATGATTTGCAGGCTAACCGGAGCATCCTTGTACCGCTCAGGCGTGTACAGCTCGTAACAGAACTTGTCCTGCTCGTTCTTCGGCACGTACGTCTCATCTTTGGCATCTTGGGCCGGGTCGACCGTGGTGACGGGGAAGACGGCCCCCGGGTAATCCAAAAGATTCCACTGCGACGTGTATCCCCAGTACCTGGACTGATCGTGAGGCGTGGCCGCTCCAAATGAAGCCGGCCCGAGAATGACATCTACCTCCCGACCGTCTTGGCCGGTCGCGGTCCAAGCCCGGGCGTAGAAAGCCCGGTACGCGTCTCTCTGTTCGGTCCGCTCCCAGAGCTCTTCAATGCTGAGTCGCTTGACACTCGGCTGCTCCTCGATGATGAACTTGGTCAGAGGAAGGACAGGCTCTCCGGCGCCGGTGATGCGGCCCATGGCCTCGGCACCTCCATCTGGCCAGTAGAGGGAAGAGATGATCTCCCACGCCTTGTCATGCTGCAAGCCGTCGCAGTCCCAGTCCACCACTTCCATACCAGCCGCTTTGCAAGCCGCCGCCACCTCTGTCAAGGCACGAATGATGGGCGGGTGCGGCTTGACCACACCGTCCCACCACTGCACCGCGATCTTCAGAGGCCGATCGAACTGATACGGGATCCATTGCTTGAACGTCAGCGATGGTTCCACCAGCCAGGGCTTGGCTGCGAGGAGGGTTTGCATAAAGAGCTCCATGGCGTCTCTATCGGTAGTCATGGGCCCGTAAGATGAGAGGATCGACTCTCTGCCTGGGACGCCGGCGGAAATGCGTTTGCAAGTCGGTTTGAAGCCGTAGATGCCGCAATGAGCCGCGGGCAATCTGATGCTACCACCAATGTCTCCCCCAACACCCTGAGATGTCAGCCTGATCTTCCTCGCGACGCGTTGGAACTTCTTCGTGGGGGACGGGGGAACGGGGAATCCTACCAAAATGCTGCCGCGAATACCGATGAGAGCGGACTCGCCACCACTACTACCTCCCGGGGTCAGGTCTCGGTTATAGGGGTTCAACGTACGGCCGTAGATATTACTGTTGGTCTCCAGATGCATGACAGTCTGCGGTTGGGTGGTTCTGGCATAAAAGACGCAGCCGGCATCCCAGAGGATATCATAGATCTGGTTCGAGCCGGGCTTTCGGTCGATCCAGGCCACATACGACGCGTTCGTGGTGACGTTCTCGCCTCTCATTCCATGCTGCTCCTTGGTCGAGATGGGTAAGCCAAAGAGCGCGCCTTGGGGCTCGGGCAGAGAGTCCAGGTATCTGGCTCGTTCGATGGCAAAGTCCCACAGCAACTCGGTCAGACAATTCACCTATGAGATAGCGACCGGGTTAGCCGACCACAGTCTTGAAGGCGTGGCAAGCGCGGCCCTGCAACTGACACTGGCTTGAGCAACGGCTGCTCGACGCAAGAAAGCCCGGGTCACTTCTTCCACCGATATCTGCCTGCTACGTAGTTTGGCCAGGAGCTGTTTGACCGTGTAGTTCTCGGTGATTTCGATCTCTCGCGGCGTCAGAAGCAGCTTGGGGATGCCTTGCGAATTGAGCGGCAGCGGGGAGGGCAGAGCATCAAGCGCCAGTGGGGGGCTGACTTTCTGCAGCGAAGCATCACGGTGATGGCGGACCGCGGCCACCTTGTCTTCCCAAGAGTCGCTCATGCTCATGTCTTTCGTCTGTGACGTCTGTCAAGCAAGCGAAGCAACCCTGGAGCGGATGGTGTAACTTGTAACCGATACTGATAACGAGAAAGGAGAAACACGAGATACGGAACTCCGGCTATTCAACCTCAACCTCAGCCACGAAGCTATTGACGCTTTCGAATGGCGAGATCTGGACCCGCCAGCCAAAGATAAGTGCTGTTGTACGGACTACTCCGTGCCTGCTCGGCTGTCCAGTTACTGTCCAGTGTGGTTGTACTGTAGTGTCGGTACCGATCGAAGCCGAAACCTCAGCCTTGGCCCTGACTAAGCTCGAGCCTCCTCAGCCCCTAAGCCCTGAGCCTCGTCAGTTCGTCACCGCTTGAAGGGCTCTAGAGGGCTCTCCCAACTTGAAAGTGCTGCTGGCTCATAAATGAACATGAGACTCTCTCGCACAGTAGTATTCTGTACCCTTGGTCTCACCATCATCGGATGCTTGGGCATGAACAAAGCCCGGCGAACAGGCTGGACCGGGTTTGTGGATTCCCTGGACCCAGTGTGGGAGATGTACATGGTACGAATCTCTCTCTCCACTCCATTTTACGCAGCTTCCTTTCAAGTTATCTTTTCCTATTCTTCTCATAACCATGGCCATGGCCACTTCAAGAGAACGCTAACCAACCCGTACCCTGGGCATAGGAGATGGGTGGTAATGGCAAGAGCTTGCTTGGGATGGTGCCTGAGATGAAAGCTAAGGAGCCTTTGCCTTTGATCTAGGCTCGGACTCGGAATGCCTGGGTCATACGTTCGAAGGAAGCGGAAGAGGACGAGGAAGAGGGAGCGAGATGAACAAATACTGTATGTAGGTGCCTGTCACAGTCACTGATGGCAGCCTAAGCCTGTCAAACTTGGACTGTAGACTGTATGCGTACAGCAGCAGGCATCCCAACCCTATTCCCAGCCTTAGGAGCCTCAGCCTCGCCTCAGCCTTGTTCCATTTCAAGTTCAAGTTGTGCCAGTGGTGCGCCGTTTATCATGCCAAGGCTAAGATCACTTACTGATCGTGCTACTTACTTACTATGTACCTTACTTATGTGACTGTCTACCTTACATACTACCTTACTACCTCAGTTCTCCTACTTACTACAGAGTCCTCCGTAATCTTCCATTCCTGTGAACTCGCTACTAGGTAGCCAGCAACCTCACGTCTCTAACATCCTACACCATCAACAGCGAAGATCTGATCTCGCTATAGCCAGCCACCCCTCGTATATCACCGCTGCTGCCGACCTATCCACGGTCCACGGTCCACGGTCCACGCACTACTACCTACTACGGGGAATTACTACCAGGAGTGGCCCTTCCTTTCCCTTCAATCGCGGCAGGGTGTTTTCTCTCTCGCTCTAACGCTCAATACTTAGCTCCTGAGCGAATTCATGCACCCACCTCTCCAGCGTCTATTCCGACCTCGCCCGCACAGCTGTTGCAGTTTGGCCCCCTCAGCGAGGCCGGTCATCCCACATCATAATGTGGGTCGTGAGCAACTTACTCTCCAGATGCAGAGATGGGTAAACGAAAGATATGGACACAGGTGATGCTCTCTCAGGAACAGTCAGAATATGCGCTAAAGGCTGCGAGCCTTCTCCCGAAGTCGCTGCTTTCAACAGCGAGAGAGAGTATGGCAGGCTCAGATGAGACGAGAGAACTCAATACGAGTGACTGGATCCCTGACACTCTCACAAACCTCTGGGTCATTACTAAATGAGGAATGATGTCGACATACAGCAGCAGCGAACAGAGAGGGCACAAAACATGGGAATGACAGTCGAAGCCAATTCGGGATCGGGTTCAGGATCGGGTTCGGGTTCAAAGGCGCTGTTTCGCTAAACTCTGTGCCCTACTTCAAATACTCCTCGAGCCACCGTGTGGCACACCCAGTTCTTGATCGGTCTCCCAAAAATCTCGGACTCGCCGTCACTTTTCAGACAAGCCCGAGCAAGCAACGAGACCTAGGGATAGCGCTGGATGCCGTGGCCAAGGCGAACATCGCGATCCTCAGCCTGAGGTAGTGGTGCAACATCTGGCCAGGCCAGACACGAGCTCTCTGTGCTCTAGAAGGGCTCGATGATACTGTATACACGGTAAGTTCAGTTGGCACTTTTCTTTCCTGCCCCCGACTACTAGATTTGCGAGTGTGCCTTCGACCATCTATGGTACCGTGTCTCCGACGGGCAAGTTCACTCCGAATACCTGCGATGCGTCCTCACTGAGGAGCCAGAGGACAGTTCGAGCGATGTCGTCGGCTTCAACCAGATTAAACCCGCCTGTATCTGCCGCGCTGGTGATGCTCTCTGCTCCGGCGGTTCCGGCGAAAAACTGTGCCAGCATCGGGGTCCTGGTGGCGGCTGTCAAAGTGGTGAGAACATGTGTCAGCCGTCTCAAACCCCCAAGCAAACAGCAAACACACCAGCCGGACTCGACAAGAGAGTCTTGGTCTTGGTTTCACGAGAGAGTCCGAACAACTCACATGGAGAAATAGTATTGACCCGGATGCCAAACTGCTTCACGTCTTTCGCGATACAGGTGGTCAGATAGGCGACGCCGGTCTTGGACACGCCATAACTGTAGCAGTCTCCGCCGTGCAGGAGCGACGCCATACTAGAAATGTTGACGATGCTGCGGTCGCGCTTCTCCAGACTGGTCATGGCCTTGATTTGCGCCCGGTTGCTGTAGAAGACACCGGCGAGGTTGACGCCGATCACGCGGTTCCACTCCTCGTTGGTCTCGGCCAGCAGGGTCGGCGACTGTCGCGCCCCGACGGGCTGAGCGACGCCGGCAGCGTTGACCGCGCCGTCCAGGGCTCCAAACTTGGCCACAATCTCCTCGATCCACGCGTCCACCTGCGCCGGGTCGGCGACGTTGAGTTTGGTCGTGAGCACTTCAACGTCCGGGTTGGCTGCCTTCAACTGCTTGCGGGCCTCGTCGAAGGCTTGGTCGTTGTAGTCCCCGATGGCCACCGCCCTGGCCTTTGCCGCGGCCAGCTGTCGGCCGGTTGCCAGACCCATTCCGGAGGCCCCTCCGGTGATGGCGAAGACTTTGTTCGCGAGAGACGCCATGCTGATGGGGCAAGAGCAGAGCAGCAGTAAAAGTGATACAACTGTGCAAAATCGAAATCAATCAGAGGCGGATTGGAGGCTCGGGCATTGGAGATCATCCTGATTCCCCCGCGACCGCGCTGTAGTTATACCTGACCGAAAAGGCAGGGCAGCGCAGCCGGAACAACGTTGTCTTCCGAGACCAGATGTGCAGAACTCGGGATTCCACCTGGCCCGGATCCGTGATGCCTCGTGCACGAGACCGCACCACTTCCTGTCATCCACTTGCGTGCGATCAGTCGGGCCCTAAGGCTATCCGGGGTTGGCGAGGCTAAGGCTAAGGGGCTTAGGCCACGCTTCAACTCCACGGGGTACAGTACAGAGAGAGCACTCCGTACTGTACTCCATAGATCTCCCCCACACATCTCAGGGCAAAGGGTTAGGCTAAGGCCTAAGGGCTTAGAGGCCCCCTAAGCCCCCATGTCACCCAACATCAACTTGCAGTCCTGCACATACTACTGAGTACGGAGTACATACCGTACTACATGCCACATTTGGTGGTCTCTCGGCGACAGCTAGAAGCTAGACGTCTACGGCCTGGATTCGGAACGGGAGGCATAAACCCGCAGTCCCCCGGCTCTCGAGCTTGATTCTCGGCAGATTATCGACCTCTCTCCGGGGAGGTTCTTATGTCATACTCTCTACACCTACTGATACAGACACAATATGAGGGGAACTGTGGGAGGGGGAGAGTTCCCCGTCCCCGCCACAACACTCTCTTGTTCGGAATTTCGAGTCGATAGCTGTGACTAGTTTTCCTGCTGGACATAACTCTCAACCAGATGACTACCCGGAAGCCGCCTGCTCCCGGCTCTTTGCATTATGCTGGAGGGAATGCAAAGAAGGTCCGGCCGCCGTGTCTCGAAAAAAGAATAAACCTGAACCTACCCAGGGGTCATGCTCTTCCGCGTTTCCTTTCCCCTTGCCCATTTCCCTTTGCCTGCAATTTCTGATTCTGCCCACGCGCCAACGAGACGGAACCAAGACCAAGATGCCTCTCAAGTACGAGCTTCCTCTCAAGCCATTCATACATGGCAAATTCGTCGATTCCAAAGGCAGCGACCGGTTGACTTTGCGCTCGGCCGTGGACGACTCGGTGTTGACTGAAGGTATGTGATGTCCTCCAGGGATTACTGGAGTCATGGACACGGACACTGATGAGAAATCTTTTCATTCACCACAGAACTACAGTCTGCCACTCCTGACGATGTCGACGTTGCCGTCGCATCGGCCGAGGAAGGATTCAAAGCCTGGCTGGCCATTCCACCCGTGAGCGTGCTTTCCTTTCCGGCTCGGCTTGGGTTTCCAACTAGTGCACAACACAACTGACTAGGCCGTCAGGAAGGGCGGCGAGCCATTCTCTGGAAATTTGCCGATCTCATAGAGGAGAATGCGGAGAGGCTTGCCTACCTCGAGGCAATCCTGGTGGGCAAGCCGTTGGGGGTGGGAATCGAGTACGATGCGCGAGGCTGTGCGGAATCTTTCAGATGTGAGATGCTCTCCGTGTCCGTGTCCTTGCTATCTGGAATCTGGATGAGCAGAGGTGGCTAATCATATGCCGCTCTTTCAGTTTTTGCCGGCTTCATCGACAAGTTTGAGGGAGACTTCCAGTCTATCCATGATGGGTTCATACGGGTGAGGCTGAGCCGACCTTTTCCTTTTTGCACCTCTCTCTCTCTATACTTCCAGTACCTTCCAGTCCGAGCCTCGCGTTGACGTGGACGTATCAAACAGGCCGTTCATCTGGAGCCCTTGGGCGTCTGCGCCGCCATCTGCCCATTCAACAGTCCTTTGATCACTTTCGGCATGAAGGCGGCCCCGGCATTGGCGGTGGGGAATTCACTCGTCACCAAGGCCAGCGAATTCAATCCGTTCAGTACCCTCGCTCTGGCCGAACTCGCCATCGCCGCCGGCATCCCCCCCGGCACGCTGAATGTCGTGGTGGGCGAAGCGGCGGCAGGAGCTGCTCTGAGCTCGCACATGAAAGTGCGAAAGATCAGCTTCACCGGCAGTGCGGCGGTGGGGCGAAAGGTGCAGATCGCGGCGGCCCAATCCAACCTGAAGCGAGTCACGTTGGAGCTGGGGGGAAAGTCGCCAGTCTTGGTGTTTGACGACGCGGATTTGGCCACGGCGGTGACGAACAGCATGAGTTTCGTCATGTACAACGGCCAGGGCTGCATTTTGGGCACGAGGATCTATGTGCAGGAGGGCATCGCCGAGCAATTCGTGCAGGTGTTCAAGCAGAGCGTCGAAGGCTTCGCCTCCACCCTGGGCGCGGACCCTTTGGAGTTGACCACAATGTCGGCGCCAATCTTCCATCGCCGGCAACAAGAGACAGTGTTGGGCTTCTTGGAAAAGGGCAAGCAAGAGGCCGAGGTCCTGACCGGGGGGAACGCCCACCCCGGCAAAGGTCTCTTCATTCAGCCGACCATCTTCACCCGGCCCAAGGCCGACGCGGACATTGTGAAGAAGGAGATCTTCGGGCCAGTCGTCGTCATCGACACGTTCAAGACGGAAGAAGAGGTGTTGCAGAAGGCCAACGACACCGAGTATGGCCTGGGGGCGTACGTGTACACCAGCAACATCGACCGAGCATTCCGCGCGGCGCATGCTCTGGAAGCTGGAGCCGTCGCCGTCAATACGGCCAGGGGGGTGCACAACACCATTCCATTTGGTGGTTGGAAGGGTAAGTGGAAGTCAAGGCAACCTCTCATTGCCATTGTTTTGTCCTTGTCCTTCTACACGTTCCGACGCCCCCATTGTTTCGTCATTGTCCTTGTTTGCCAAGCTCGCCATTGCTATTGCTTCGTTCTTGTCCTTCCTTACACGTTCCGGGGCCAATCATGCTTACACGTTCCTGGGCTAATCTCTTCATGTTGTCTTGAATCCAGCGAGCGGAATTGGCAGCGAGAACGGCAAGTACGTCTTGAGAGAATACTCTCATCCAAAGTCCATCACAATCAAGTGAGTCGGTCCCCAACCCCCCAAGCACATGCCGAGAGTCTACTGGACGGTGACGGTGACTGTGACGGTGAGAAGGGATCCCACGAGTGGCTGGCTAACAAGATTCGCGTGGTAGAATCAACCCTCAGGCTCAGGCATGAGACCGACGCGTGCTGATCGGTCGACCGGACTATGTTGTAGTCATGTCATGTCATTTCTGGCGGCGGAAAGAGGTGCCAGTGCCAGTGTCAATAAAAAATCAAATCCAAATCCAACCGAAGCCTTGATATTGTCAAAGGTCGAAATGTTCCATTCCATATTCTCTCAAAGGGGTATGGAGAGTCCTGACTATATAGGTGTGTCTATACCAGTAAAGGGCAAGGCTGGGAATGCCTACAGCAAGTTAGTGCCCAAGCTTGCCAGTTTGACAGCTTTATACTTATATATATATACTTACATATACATACGTTGGGCCGACCGATGGGGGTTCTGATACTTATAAGAGACGAAGCACACTACTGTACGTCCACACTTGGTAACTTGCGGTAACTTGCGGTAACTTGCGGTAACTTGCGGTAACTTGCGGTAACTTGCGGTACGTTAGGAAGACGTCAATTCGTAAACTATGGTATGCTGTGCTGTTGGCATTGAATTCAGTATGGCCTGTGTATTGTGCCACTGCGACAAACCCTAAACCCTCAACCCAACCCTCAACTGAACCCAACCTAGCATCTCGACATTTTTATGTGTTTGTGTGTCTCTGTGTGTGTTTGTGTGTCTCTCTGTGTGTCTGTGTCTGTGTGTCTGTGTCTGTGTGTCTGTGTCTGTGTGTCTGTGTCTGTGTGTCTGTGTCTGTGTGTCTGTGTCTGTGTCTGTGTGTGTTTGTGTCTGTGTCTGTGTGTCTGTGGCTGTGTGGCTGCTCTAATAGCATGTTCCAGCTATTCCTCCATACATGTACCCACCAACTCCTTAAACACCATCCATCATGAAGCTTGATCGCGGACCGACTCGCAGCGTGAACTGTGAACGTGAACTAGCGTTGAAGGATGCCTGGGAGACCTGATCTGTAAAATCAAAATTGAAGCGAAGCCGAAAATGTGCGTGGTTGACCCCTGGTCGAGCCTAGATCCAGATATGTAAGGTCGAGGCAACTTTTGGGTCCAAATCTGCCGTGGGTCCAAACACAGCGTCATGGAGGGTTTGGCCCTTGAATTTTTGCAACAGGTTTCGTGAAGTGCTTTTCACGGATGATTTCTCCATCCTCTTGTAGATGGTCCCTGAAGAGACTGGCTATGTATTGCCGATCACTTGATTTAATTCCTTTCACGTCGGTAAGGCAAGCGAGGCAGTGAAAGCCCCAGTGTGCTCGTCTGTCCTGGATGTCAATGAACGGTACCGAAACGATGGCCATGAACCTCCTGGGGTTGAAGTAGTATTCATCCCTGGGGAGGTTGAATGAGTATTCTCTGTCAATATTATGATCGACCAGATCCGGTTCAAGTTTTCTTCTTGAAACACGATACGCCTCCAGTTTTTCTGCAGCGACCTTTTTTGAATAACACTCCACCGCACGAGCATTGCCGTGCAAAGCAATGCCCGCCTCGCGAACAGCGGTCGCGTCCATCAGAGTGCGCCGCGGGCGCCGTCTATGCAGCGCCGTGTAGCGGCCTGGGACACTTTTCATTTGGGGGATCTGCTTGATAATATCCGCAGGCAGGCCGATTCGCTCGCGGGCATCAGATCGCAGAACCGGCAGGTACTTGGGAAGACTTGTAAAACAGTGGTAGCAGACGCGCTTACACGTCAAGACGTACAGATAGCCGGCAAATTCGCTGCAGGTCTCACATTGGTAGGAACAGAGCTTGGCGAATAGCATTCGGCATGTGATGAAACGGCCTGTTTTGATGGCGAAGATGGCGCGCAGGGCGTTGGGAGAATACTCCATGATTGCCCCAAGTTCCGGCATTGCATTGACCATGTGGAAGGCTCGGCGATTCACCCGTTGCAGAGACATGAGTGAGCGTAAATCTAAATGGCCCATAATCATATTGAGAGTTTCGACTGGGAGGTCGAGTACCCCGAGGTCATGTTTTGGCTCTTTGCAGAGGCGATGATATGAGAGCCGGACAAGTTTGTCTAGCTCTAGATGGCCGAGATTGTCTGACGGGTATGGAGGGTAGGTGAAAGCCAGTTCAGACTTTGTCAGTGGGCTGTTTCGTTCGTCCATGGTACGGAAGGCTGAAGGGTTAAAGGGTTGGAGGGTGAGGGCTGGAAGGCTGGAAGGCTGGAAGGCTGGAGGGCCGAGTCTATATGCAGTGGAGAGCGAGGTCGGTGGTAGAAGGAGAGGAGGAAGAAGAGAAGAAGAAGAGGAAGAGAAAGGGGAAGAGGAAGAGGAAGAGGAAGAGGGCTGAATTGTGAGGGGCAACAGCTTGACAAGGATGTTGTGTAACCAACATGATGTCGACACAGTTCGGAGTATCCGTACCAGGCACCACCAACCTACCAGGTCTCAGGTAGTTGTTTGCTCTGGTTTGATTAGAGTAGCAGCAGTTTCTTAAGCTACTAAGCGACTAGTGCAGAGGAAGCTACTAATTCAGAGGAAGTCAACCCCTTAGCCTTCTGCTTGAGGGATTCTAAGAACCTTACTAGGGGACCTTCTCTAAAGCGGCGCAACTCCCCTCCTGAAATGCGGAATGCTGTGCTGGTGGCTGGCTGGCTCTTGTACACATGGTTTACATCAATAGTATATACCTAGGTATGTATCCGTACAGAGTATCCGTACCACATGGACGATACATATGACTCGTACCATATGCCTCGTTTGCTCCCCAGTCCTAGTTCCAACATTGGTTTCAGGCACCCCAGTCTGGTCTTGGTTTTGTTGCAATCCAGGCCGCAGAGAGTGGGCCTGACTAAATACCTCGTCGACACGTCAAGACCATGTCGAGTCGCAGGACATGTACTTCCCTTCAAAATACCTTCAATTTTCTTTCCTTAGGCCCAAGCCGAGCCGCCACGACGATGAAAGCACCCAGGATCATCGAGGCGCCCCCAAAATACCCGCTATCCACATAGCTGTTGTACTCAGTTGCTATGGCACCACTGATGGGCGATCCTGACAGACCGGCAAACCCACAAATAAAGGAAAGCACCCCGATGTGGGCCCCGATCTGTCTGGGATCGGGCGTGATCTGAGCCACGCATGCGTTCATCAACGAGATGATGGCGCCTGAGAAGAAACCGAACAAAATGGCAAAGACCAGAATGGCTGCATTGGACTTGGTGGCACCCCAGCAGAGTAGCAGGATCCCGGAGCTGAAACACGCCACAAGCCACAGATTGTAGCGACCAAGCCTATCCGCCGCCATGCCGGGGAGCACTCGTCCAAAGAGAGACGCCGCGTTCATGATGGCGATGAGATAAGACGCGAGATCGGCGCTCATCCCGCGTTGGATGCTGTATACCGGGAGGTAAAAGTAGGGAACAAACATGCCCCAGACTAGGAAGAAGGACGCTATGGTGGTGAGGTAGAAGACAGGTCGTTTGAAAGATGCTGGATCGGGCTTCCTGCCCATGTTGCGCGCCGCCGCCTTAATAGTAAGGCAAGAGAGGGACAGTAGACCAACGTTGATAAAGCCACAGATCCGCACGCTCCAGCCGAAGCCGATGGTCGAAAGGTTGAGCAGTTGGTTGAGAGTGATGGGGAAGATAACCCCTCCCAGACTCGAACCAGCCACGATGATGCCGACGGCAGCGCCAATATTTCGTCTGAAGTAGTGATTCGGCACGGAGACGGCGACCGTGAAAATCAGACCCGAGGAGATGCCACTGAGGATGCCTTGGGCTAAGATGAATTGATAGTATTCTTTGCACAGACTTGTCATCATGATTGCGAATGTGTAGGTCACGCAAGGGAACCACATGATCTGGAAGCCTCGTTAGTGTGACGCCTCTGAGTTTGGAAGAGTCACAAACCTTTTCCCCATGCCGATCAAAAAGAGGGCCAGCAACGACACCACTACTAAACTGGAAAAAAACCTGGATCGAGCCAATCCAAGCGATGGAGGAGGCTGAACGGTCTCGCAGCTGGTGGGTTGAGTAGTACTCCTGGTAGACACTGCCACAACATCAGACACCATCAACGGGTAAGAAGGTCGATTGCGTATTGGCACCCACCCGAAAGAATTGACGTATCCCAATGTACTGAACAAGGCCAACGTCGACCCGAGAACCACCAACCATGCTCGGGTGCCGCCTTCAGGGGGCTGATAGCCTGATTTTCCTGGCACTGGATTGACTTCGACCGGAACCTTAGGTGATGTTTCTTCAGGAACAGCATGGCCCGCTTCCTTCTCTTCCATGTTTTCGTCAAGTACAGACATGTCTCCCAGCCCGGCTGATGTCAGGGGGTAAGGGGACTGTTTGGTGGCTGCAGTCTGAAGATCCAAAAAGAAGATACAAGAGATTCAAATGATCTTGGGGAGTAAACTTATTGCGCCCTTGAAAACGAAATCCGGTCTCCAAAGGGTCGATATACTGTGATACATATACATGTCGCAGCCCTGTTGGAATGAGACCAGCGCGGTCTTCTAAACCGACCACCACTCGGCCCTGGGCACATTTCCGTCCGTGATGTATGTTTTCAGATCCAACAGTAGCGGGGTTATAGAGACAGGGACTGCGAATCAGGACTCCTCAGTCAGGAATTCGCTGGTGAGAGGCATGTAGTCGGTACATGATAGTCGGCACGGCCCACCGGCCCCGGGCCTATCGAATTTGGAGCCAGGTCGGCTCCGGAATGATGAGAGGCCGTGATAGAATGGACCAGGGGTGTAGATATGCTCCGTATTAATAATAAATCCCATCTGTACTACGGAGCATAGAGTAAAGCGTGCGGTTCGCGCTTCCTCTTCTGTCGCCAAGAGATGCTCTCCAGGCACCGCAGTCTGTAGAACGTGACCGTACTCTGTAGGTGGTAATTAATTACTACCCTCATAATTAATTCGTACTAACGTCTGGTTTCCTCCGCACTCCATCCCTACAAACTGCACACTGGCAGTGCTCTGTACAAGGAAATTTTGGCCTGTTCTGTTACCTGACCTCCTCATCAAGCACCCTTGCCAACCCCGAGGCCCAGCAGACGCAGACGCAGACACAGACACAGACACAAGCAGCCCTCAGCATGGCCTCCAACAACCCTACCCAGATCTTCGCCGACGACGTGCAAGAAGAAAAGGGCGAGAATGCACGTCTCTCTGCCTTCGTGGGTGCCATCGCGGTGGGCGACCTGGTCAAATCCACCCTCGGCCCCAAGGGCATGGACAAGATACTGCAGAGTGCCAGTACGGGCCAAATCATGGTGACGAACGACGGTGCCACCATCCTGAAGGCCATCGCTCTGGACAATGCCGCAGCCAAAGTTCTGGTGAACATTTCCAAGGTGCAAGATGACGAGGTTGGAGATGGCACCACATCTGTCACAGTCCTTGCCGCAGAATTACTACGAGAAGCCGAGCAGCTCGTCAACAAACACATCCACCCTCAGACCATCATTGAGGGCTACCGATTAGCATCGCAGGCGGCGTTACAAGCGCTGGAAAGAGCTGCAGTCGACAACAGCAAAGACCCACAAGCCTTCCGCCGAGACCTACAAGCCATTGCTCGCACCACCCTTTCCTCCAAGGTCCTCAGCCAAGACCGAGATAAGTTTGCCCGGCTGGCATGCGAAGCTGTCCTACGGCTCAGGGGATCGATAGATCTGAATCACATCCAAATCATCAAAAAGGCCGGCGGGAAATTGAGTGACAGTTACCTGGATGAGGGGTTCATTTTGGACAAACGCGCGGGTGTCAATCAACCCAAAAGACTGGAGAATGCTAAAATCCTCGTGGCCAATACCGCCATGGACACCGACAAGGTCAAGATCTGGGCATCGCGTATGAAAGTCGGCTCGCCCAAGGAGCTAGCAGAGCTGGAGAAGGCGGAACGGGAGAAGATGCGGCAGAAGGTCGAACGCATCAAGGCTCACGGAATCAACTGCTTCATCAACCGGCAACTCATCTACAACTGGCCCGAGCAGCTCTTCACCGAGGCAGGCATCATGAGCATCGAGCACGCCGACTTCGACGGCATCGAGCGTCTGGCCCTCGTGACCGGAGGCGAGATCGCATCGACATTCGACCACCCGGATCAGGTCCAGCTGGGCCACTGCGATCTAATCGAGGAAGTCATCATTGGCGAGGACACGCTGATCAAGTTCTCCGGCGTGGCTGCGGGCGAGGCATGCACCATCGTGCTACGCGGCGCCACGGAACAACTGCTTGACGAGGCCGAGCGGTCCTTGCACGACGCCCTGGCCGTTCTCTCGCAGACGGTCAAAGAACCGCGCGTCACGCTCGGCGGCGGCTGCGCCGAGATGGTGATGGCCAAGGCTGTCGACTCGCTCGCCCAGAAGGTCGGCGGCAAGAAGCGGATTGCGATTGATTCGTTCGCCACCGCCCTGAGACAGCTACCCACCATCTTGGCCGACAATGCCGGCTTGGACTCGTCCGCGCTCGTCTCGGAGCTGCGCAGCGAGGTCTACCGAGGCATGACCACCAGTGGCCTCGATCTATTGACTCCCGGCGGTGGCATCGCCGACATGCGCGAGCTCGGCGTCATCGAGAGCTACAAGCTGAAGAAAGCCGTCGTTAGTTCTGCCAGCGAGGCCGCCGAACTGTTGTTGAGAGTTGACAACATCATTCGTGCCGCGCCCCGGAGACGCGAGCGCATGTAAAGAAGAGAAAACGAAGTGCCTCTCCCTAGTAAACCGACACGGAAAAAATGCTCGAGAAGCGGGCGACATGGACCTGATAGATGGCCAGGGGAAGACTTTGGCGTATCATGTTCTTGATTTCACAAACCGCATACTATCCTCGCTTCTTCACTTCCTCCCTACCTCATGATGGCTCATGGTGGGGGTTACCTCAAGGAAAAGGACAAGAAATGGTGCTAGTAGAGCGACTACCAGGACACTTTGGAGAACATGCAGCCAGAGACTGATCACAGCCAGATCCTACACGGCCAATCCAATTCCAAAGAAAGATTGGTTTTGGTCTGAGGAATCCATCTCGTACTATTAAGGTCTAGTCGATGTCTTGTCCTGGTTGGCGTTTCGACCCTACATCTGTGTAGAGAGAGACTTCATCAACGGACACTCTGCTACCTGCGTCGGCATGGAATGGAATTCAATGGAATGGCCCCGTCAATTGGGAAGCCGGCGTGGCACGGGACGGGGAAGCGAGAGTGCGTCCCTAAGGGCTACGAAGGGTCTCATCTCACTTCATCTCCTCTCCCTTCTTCCGCCTGGAGATACCGGCTCAGTCACGGCGAGAATATGTTCGTCATGTCATGTCACGGTCACGGTCACGGTCACGGTCACGGTCACGGTCACGAACGCTAGAGAAAAAGACAGGTAGAAGACAAGACGAATTGAACGTTACCAGAAGTAAACTGATAGACACTGATAAAAGTGATAAAAGAATGTACAGGTTCATGCATTTCTCTGTAAAGATACCAACTATTCGTTGGAGTCGAGGCTCGTACAGAGCACCACTGACTGACTGTGCCCGTGTTCGCCAACTGGGTATCCTGTACTCTGTATGGTTACGGCTCATAGTACCTCTCCATTCGAAATCGTCCCACCAGGTCCCTCTCCAGCACCAGACAGTGGCAGTTGATGAGTAGACTGGGGAACCGTTTGGCCCAGAACTCGTAATATCCTTTGGGACTCCCGCCGAGCATCTGCTCCTTGACATCCTCCGGCAGATCGTGGAAATGATTCATCTTATTCCGAATCACGCGTAACAGATCAATCATCTTGGAACCCGTGTATTTGCGCTGTTTGCCCATTTCGTAAACGAAGCTCTTAGGCAGGGCGCGAAGAAAGTCTTTGGACGGGCCAATGACATTTGGGGCCAGCGATTCTAGAGCGGCAAGCTCTGCCAGTGACTCCTTTTCCGCAGGCGTCCGGGTGGCGTTCTCATCGAAGATGTTCTTGATGTAATTCTTCTCGCTCTCATAACAATCCGAGAGATCACACAGGAATCTCAGCTTATCCGCCACATCCCAAAAGTATGGGTGATGAAGGATTTGTGTTGTGTCAGGACGTGCCTTGGGATCATGTTTAAGCATCTGCATGATCAGGTCGTCGGCGTCGTATTGATAGTCGTGCAGACGCAGATCTTCCGTGCTGAATTTGTTCTCTTTGATATTCAAGTCTCGGCCAAGGCTGGAACCGCCGACGTCAAATGGATGGTGACCCTGGGTCATGACATAGTAAAAGACACAGCCCAACGAGAAGATGTCGATGGCTTTCGTGGCGCGCCGTCCTGAGGAGCGTTCGATAATTGTTCCGTCACTCGATTGTGTCGTCGATCTCGACGTCGACGAAGTGGTACTTGATGCAGCAACGGTGGATCGGGAGTGAACGAGTAGCTCTGGCGCCCTCCAGCCTGTCGTGCCTGCAGCTGTGTGGTTTGCCGTGGGGGCGAAGGTCGACTCAGGTCCCTCCTCCAGAGGCTTGCACAGTCCAAAATCAGAGATGACGAACTGCAGTTTGGGCATACCGCTCGCAGGTCGATTGCTTTTTACAGCCTTTACCAGGACATTTTGTGGTTTGATGTCTCGGTGAACGAGTTTGAGCGAATGAAGGTGCTGCACACCGTCGGTGATCTGGCGCAAGGCGTCCTTCACATCAAATCCTTCCGGGAATTTGACCAAGGTAGGGAACTGAAGAGGACGTTCGATGAATTGATCGAGGGAGGTAGTGAACAGCTCAAGAGCAATGTACGTGAAGTGCTGCGACTCTTCCTTCCCAAAATATCGGATAACGTGGGGATTTTCGTCGCTGGAGAGAAGATGCTTGATCTCTTTCGCTGCGAGACTGTTTGAAGTTCGAATTAGACGCTTGACGGCGACTTCCCTACCGTCCAGCGTGCCCGGGAAAACAGCGGTTCCATTGCTTCCACGACCTAGACACCGGTCTTCTCTGGTGTCGATCCTGAGTCGACCGACCTGTAACATGCAGTCTTTCGTAGGGACTTCAACGACGAGCTCTTCCATCTCGTCCATAGCCTTGGGATCCATTGTCTTTTTCCCTTTCTTGTTCTTCCTTCCGCCACGTTTACCCCGCTTGGCATGTCTGAAGCGAGGCTGCGTTCCATTCTCAGCATTCTCGCCTGCATTGGACTCTTGCTTGCACTTATCATCGTCAGATTCGCCTTCGGAGCTCTCGTCATTGGTGCTGTTCGGTTTGATATTCTTGACAGGACTACTGTCAGAAACCGCAACACTTTGGGCACGGCTCCGGGCAGGCGGGGCGATGGCATCTTCTAAGACCTGTGCCACGGCATCTGGCTTGTTGTTCTCTTGTTCAACTTCGGCAACTGGTATCTCATGGTCACCGGTTGCAGGATCAGCTGTGGTAGGGGCAGGAGGCCGATTCTTTTCTGCAACGACATCGACACCGGCCTTACGGAGGTATCGTTGCATCTTCAACATGAAGGGGAGTTTCATTTGAACTCCCACCACAAAAAGAAGCAAGACGCTGACTACGATCATGTTGAACACTGACATCAGAGGATGGTTGAGCACAGGTGACAAAGATGGCGGAATTTTGGATCCTAGGGTTGCAATTTCCTTTTCTGCTTCCTCAGCCAAGTCGGTTCCTGGAGAGGGGCCAGAGATAGTCAGTCGTAGGGGAGCGTTGTCTGATTCCGTAGATAGGACATGGACGCCCACAATTTCTTCCATCTCACTGTTGAAGTCCAATGGGTGGTTGTCGTAATTCCAATGAGAGCTTGCAGGTGCAGCACCACTGGTGACCCCAGGGTAAGAGAGCTCGGACAGGGCATACCAGACCCCCGATTCTGTCTTGTTCACAAAAACCCGCTCAGCCCGTTGCATTTCATTTCGCCAAATCTGGGAGGACGAAAGAAGAGGAGAGTCGGTCGGTCGAGCCAACAAGACCAGTTTTGGAGATTCGACCTTACTGTCAAGGGGACGCACAATATCGAAAACCCGAGCGACAGGAGTGTCCAGCATGTGGGTAAAGCGATGGACTTTGCCCGAGTCCGCGTTGCTGTCAATGCCGATGATCCGGCCATTATAGTAACTTTGAATGTGGAAATTGTCGAGGGGGGCAATATATTGACTTTGCAGGTCGCTGTCCCCTTTATTCGGCACCCACTCGGCGAACTTTATCGTGCATAAAGGCTGGTTTGTGATCTTGTGTGAAATCTGGACGGTATATTCGACGCGTCCGAGGTTCAATGTTCCCAGAGACTCGCAGGCAGGATCGTCGAGTTCAAAGCCACTGAGTCGGCGACAGCTGCGGCCTTCGTCGTCGTTGGAAAAGCCCCGATATTTATCAAACTGCTGCAGAATGTTTCCCGTGGCAGCATCCACCACATAGGCCGTTGTCTCCTGAGAAGCAATCGTCACCAGAGGCGGATCATCCACAAACTGCGGAGTCTCGGCTGCAAGGGATCTGACTGTGACGCCCAGTCGTTGTAAACCGATTCTGGGATCTCGATGCTGAATGTAGAGATTGCCATCCTTGCTCGGTTCCACCACAAAAATGAAGTCGTCTTCGTAGTTTGAACTGTCCAAGTTGCTGTGGTTCACTTTATGGTGGATGGTCTCGATCATGGGACTGCTCGGTATTCCCAGTGACCATCTCTCATTGCCCGTCTTCCTGTCACGAGCGTGTATGGTGCCATCAATAGTGGCTAGTAGGATAATGTTCTCGACCTCCCAATCTTGCAGCAGCCGCGCTGAAGGAAGCGCCGAGAGTCCAGAGGACTGGGCAGGCTGAACAAGAGGTGCTCTAACAGCACTACTGCTATCGTGTGCTGGAGCCAAGGCACGGAGTTTGTGGTGTTCGGGGGTTTCATCAGTGCTTCTGAACTTGACCGTGGCCACATCGTTCTTGAGGAGAGGGATCTCTGCTGGGCTGCGGCCAGCCTGAGGGTGTCGACTCGACTCAGGGCGAACGGTCTGGGTTGATGCCACCAGTATCTGGACGGAGTCTGATTGATGGGCGGATTGGGATTGGGCGGCAGCAATGAGCAGCAACAGGAGAGCCCAGGTCAGCATGGATTTGGATCCTCCACGTCGGCCTGGCGGCCGAAGCGGAGGTTTGGCCATGGTGCACTGAGAGCGACTCCAGTGCGATTAAGGCGAGACGGCGCGTCTATTAAATGATCAGACACATAACTCTGTTCTAATGGAATAGCAATTGTGAAGATGAGAATGAAGATGGTGGTGGGAAATGAACGGCGAGTAGGAGTAGGAGTCAGCTTACGAAGGGTGAATTGAAGGTGAATCAAGGGAGTGGTGGATGTGGACGGCGTTGGCGTCCTCTGTATTATTCCCTGCCCGTGGTGGCTCTGGGCTCTGGGCTCTGGGCTCTGGGCTGAGTGGGCAAATCGGTGCTCAGGCCGCTCGGTGCCTGGACGTGGACTCTCTAGGATTCGGCTAGGTACCTCTGCCTGGTATGTACGCAGTAAGGGAGCGCGGGTCCCTAAGGACCACAGGGAGCAAGGGACAAGGGCGCAGTTTTGGCTGGCTGGCTGCTGGCTGGCTGTCTCCTGATGCAGCCCACCAATCGCTGGTGTGGTCCGCCGTCTGACGGGAAGGCGCTCACAAAACTCGCAAGCCCAAACAGCTCCACCACTGTGTCACTCGCCTAACCGAGGAAACCAGTGCTGTCAGACACTGGCAGTATTTTTCTCTGGCTAAACTGGAATCAGCTGGCCCCCGTTGACGGGCCTGTTTCAGGCTAGAAGCTTCTCTTCTTCCGCTTTGCTATTGTACATCCATGACGAATACTCGCCTGAGTCCCCTGAACATTGCATCGTTGACTGCTGTCACTGTCACTGTCTGTCACCTTAACATTTCCTTCCACAACGGATGCGGTGCCTCAGAATCACAGCAGAGATGATAGAACATGCTGGCGCCGAGTCCCCAACGTAGCGACTACAGTGTTTAGGGAAACAGATGGACTATGTGTTGACATTCGCAGCCTCAGGTACCGTCCCGCGGAGGCTGTAATATTGCACATGGGTATCATTCCTCTCCCTTGCGAAGGAGGCCATGTCTATCTGAGATTGGCCATCTCGACGCTTGATGACAGCCAGTCCAGTACACAACGGTGTAGCTCTCGCTCTCGCTTCACACCTCGACGGCCTCTACCAAAACGGACGGGCCAGACAGAAGAACCAACTTGTCACAATCGTCAACAGACTCCGAACCGTTGTCCGCCCTCGGATTTGGATCCAACGCTAAACACGCACTCCAAAAATTGTACATTCATTAATTTCTGTCGTCTGAAAGAATCACGCTTGCCACAGTCAAAGAGAACAACCAAGTATCCTGGTTTAAAAAACACCAGCGTAACAACACAGCCCTGAAAATCGGCACCAAAGGGGCCACAGCCTGTCTATTGCGCGTCGTCTCGAAGGGACATGAGCAAAAGGTTTGTCCCATCAAAGAGGCTGGGCGCGGCTCAGCCCTCGAATCTGTTGTAGATATTATGCGGGACACGAGCAGTAGGAGCTGGTCCGGTCGGTCAGAAGAAGACCATATACTCTCCTCGCTCATTTCTCTTCAGTCGTAACCCCCTCCACAGGTCTTGTTCCTCTTCTGCTTTATGAGTCGAACTTCGGACATCGTTTTGCTTATGCCAGCGCTTCAGCATCTTGTGCATCGAGTAGCCCTTCTCGGACTCCAGACCTGGCGCATTGGCAAGAAATCCGCGGCATGCGCGCCTGGACTTCTCCTCTGCGCCGAAAACGACCATTGTCCCATTGGTACTTTTGCGTCTCCCGGCACCGTTGGCATGGTGCTGAGCGGAGTCTGATTCCGAATCGGAGTCGTCCTGCTTACGGTACTCAATCGCCTTGAGCTTTCGGCTTGTGCCTTCACCCTGAGAGTGCGTAGGCGAGTCATCGCTATACGTGCGGCGTCGGGACCGATGCTCATGACGGATGTTAGATGATGCCGTACCATTGTGGCGGTGGACTTTGTGTTTCTTCCTCTCACGTTTCTCGCCTTCGCGGACACGGATAGCACTCTGGCCATTGTCGGAAGAGCTTGCCCTTCTCCGCGTTCGACTTTGCTGGCTGTCGTTCTGCGATGCAGGGAGAAGCGCTCCGCCGACCATGGAAAGTGCTTTCACAGCATGGCCTTTGATGGAAATGCCCAGACCATTCTGGTCGTCTTTGGTATGACGGGTACGTTTTAAAGGCGATGTGGGATCTTCGGGCTTGTGGTTTCGGCGGGAAGGACGCTCTTTCTCAAAGATTTGACGCCTGTCTCCGATCTCTGGAGATCGCTGAAAGGGAAATTCCTCGTCTTTCGACATCATACGACTGAGACCTCCAGTGAGCCCAGAGTGAATGATGCCAGGAGTGTCGGCCTTGATTGTGTCGACAATTAAACCGTCTCCTTCGTGAACGTGATCGTCTGTTGGTCGTTTTCGTTTCTTTTCACTCCCGCTGTTGGTTCGGCTATGCACCTGTGGTCTCTCCTTCTTGTCCAACCTGGATTTGGCTTCTTTGGCTGCCGGAGTCATGAATTCTAGCGACAAGGCGCTGTTGTTCATTTCCAGCGCGCCTCGAGGCTTTACGGGTTCTGCACCCCACGTGTAGCCATTCTCTTCATATTCCTTACTGTGAAGTTGCTCTTCTGCGGTTCGATAACCGTGCTGGCTTGACGGCCTGCTGCCGGTGAAGATAGATGGAGCTGTCTGTTTCATGGACATTTCTTCCCTCTCCTTCTTTGAAAAACTTATCTGGGGTGTACCTGGCGTGCCCTCGTCGACCATATAGTCGAAAACACTATCGCTATTAGAGGCTGGAACCGCAGGCGGCGGCGAAGGAGCATGTGGAGGTGTGTCAAGATCTGGTACGTCTTCAACGTATGCCGGTCGCGGAACAAGAGCCTTGCTATTCTCCGGCTCAACGATAGATACCGACTTCCTCTTCGAAGCCTTTGAAGGCTTCTCGCGATATAAGGCACCTTGGTACTTCTGATCTTCTGTCATGCATGACTAGTTCCCCGAGGTCAGCCAAATGTTCCATGTGTCGGGCGCAGTTGGTGATGCAAGCCCATGGTTCTGTGCAGCCGCATTGCCAATTGACATACTGTATGAGCCTTGTATTGTGTTCCTTGGAAAGTGGTCATGCAGTCAATGCAGGTGAAGACCGCGCCTCGACAACGGTTGCGGTGCGGGTCGAGTTTCTTCTTGGTAAGAACATCTCCGCACGCCTAGAGGATGATAGTCAGCAGCGGATCGCTCAGAGATGTTGCGCAGGGTGCCGACCTCGCATTGGAAAGAAACCATGTTGCGTGGAGGTTCGTGAATTGGTGAGGGTTCCAGTGGCTGGATCGCCTTGCTTGCGAGGTTGTTTGATATTGGCAGGCTTGGATATCGAGCCTGAGAGTGGACCAGTGTGCACTGCAGTTGGGCAGCAACAGTCGAAGGGTTGCACAAGAGCCAGCTCTTGAGCGGATGGAGAGAATTAAGGCGTCAAATGAATGTCAGGAGACAAGCAAGGCGCGAGGCATGTCCGAGGGGTCTCAGTGTCAGGGCAAACGAGGGCGGCGACAAGGGTCAGGAGTCGAGTCAGGACCGTGTTGAACAACACCCCCCTTGGCAGCGGCAGCGCAGAGGCGCCCGCTCAGACTCTGCGAGGAATTTTTTTAATTTCTATTTCGGCCGCAGCCACACCTTACCCGACTGTGCCTAGTGACTCGCCGTGCGACGCCTATCGCACCATGAATCCAGTCCCATGTTTAGGGGGCCGCCGAATCAGGACGGCGCCCGGTGTTTATCATGACGCGACTGATCACTTGCGCGTTCAGTGGCCTCTCTGCACGGGTCATATGCTGCGGACGGTCACGAACACCCGGGGCACCTCCTCGCTACGGCGCGGACGGCGCCGTTTTGACGGCAGCTATTGTTACAAAGCATGTACGGATACTCCGTAAGCTCGAGCTTCGTCCACAACAAGAACTTGAAATTGTCAACAACTTCGACGTCAACGCACATTCTCCCCTGCCACCTGTCTCAACCCTCACAACCAATAATGTGTGGCCATTCTGCGACGCCCGGCACCGAAGCTGTGAGACCTGAAACCACCACCTCCTTCGCCCAGTCTGAATTGCGAGCCTACGTCCCCAGTGCAACCATCTGTGTTGCTGCTTTCGATCTCGTGACATCCGCCCTGCCGCTGTCGATTGTGCACCATTGCTTGCGCGTCTACCTGTTCGCCAAGTGGCTCGCCGAGAAGGAGGCGAAGGAATGGGTGGACAGTGAGTTGCTGTTTGTGGCATGCATCTGCCACGATCTTGGTGCTTCTCACCGATACAACGGATCACAGCGATTCGAGGTCGAAGGCGCAGATGCTGCAGCACAGCTTTTGCGCGGTTATGGAAGGCCAGAATCAGAGGCGCACGAGGTTTGGACTGCTATAGCTTTACACACTTCGCCTGGAATAGCCGAACGCATCGCACCCTTGGCCCGACTGGTGAGAATGGGGGTCTTATTCGATTTTCGGCCTGCCACACGAGAGGCTTTAGGCGCCGTAGCCTATGCGAAGACTGTCGAAGCGACGCTACCCAGACTCGAGATTGAGCAAGTCCTCGGGGATGCTGTTGTTCAGCAAGCCGTCCAAAATCCACAGAAAGCTCCAGCTGCTTCCTGGCCGAACAACCTCTTTAAGTCCTATCTCGAGAATCCGGAGTGGAAGGGGATCAACCGCGTCTTTTAGGTGCCTGGATGAGACGCCTCATACTCACAACTGAAGGCGTCGGCCGATTGCCCCAAAACAGATGCTAGTGCAGAAGACTATGCTGGCCAACCAGGTATATACACCAAACTGCTCGGATGCAGTCGGCTGATGTATTGCTGGAACTGGCACAAAATCCGGATCGACTAAGAGCAGAACCATTGTTCCAATAGTACTGACGGCGGCTGAGAAAGCAAAGCCCGGCAGAGACCGGTCAATCAGGTACCATAGAACTGGATTAGCCAGGGCCAGGGTCAAGGCTACTTGTAGAGTCGACTGCCATGGAATTCGTCGCTGTGTGAAAGATGAGCATGGTGGTTGTACCATCGGGGAGCGAACATCTTACCACTGCAAAAGCGATTCCAACAAAAACACCCACACTCCTCACAGCCGAGTACCAAATAGGACCTAGCCCACTGTCGTATGATGGGCTGGAGGTCGACCCATCGGTCACCGAAGTAGTCTCAGCCCCTGAACTCGCATTCTGAGTGGTCTGACCAGACGGAGCAGAAGATCCAGCCCTCTCCCAAAGGGAGTCAACTAGCGGCAGAGCATTGCCCAGCAAGATGCCAAACACACCCCAAGACAGTTGGTAATACAAAGAATTGCGTTCGATGTCTGGGACAGGCACAGGGGTAATCAGCTGCTGCTTGTGCAGATGTGTGACGATGGATCCGTAGCCGAGCCCAAATGCGAACAAGAGAACGGTTTGTAGGAGCAGAGGCATTAAAAGGCCACGGGTTCCTCTCCTCTTGGTTCTCAGCCGTGGCTTGTCCGCATCACGCGACCAAGTCAATGACGAAGGCTGTCGAGGTGTGTAGTCATCTATGCTTCGCCTCTGGCTTGGTGTCTGCGCTCCTGTGCCCCATGGTGTCGATAACTCTTCTCTGTTCTCGTCCGAGCCTGTAGGTGAATATATCCCCAGCAATGTAGACGAGGTAAGATTGAGGATCGATCGGGTTCGACTGGGGGTGGAATCGGGCTTTTGGAAGAGTAGATCGGGATTGGCGGCCTCGGTTGCCGGAGAAGGAGGATATGATGACTCGGTCGAAGTAGGGGTTAGCTCGAAAGCACGTTGAGGGATGGGACGAGCAATCTGAGGCATTTCCATGGAGGGCAAAAAGAGTAGGTGGAAAAGCTGAGGAAAAGTAAAACCGAGTCGAGGTCAGCAGGCACAGCAGGCACAGCAAGGCAGAAGCTGAGAGCAATTTACAAGCTCGCGGCAGCCTCACTCAAAATGTGCCTAATTTAGGACATTAAAATGTTGGGCGGAGTCGACGTTCAGAAGTAGCAGGGGCTGTCATATATGTGTGCTTTGTGCTTTGAACCATGTCCAGAAATCCTCGTTGGGACAAATCCCATCGGAGGACGGGACTCAGCTTTGCCAGGTGGAGACACGCAGTCTGGGGCAGGGTGTACAAGTCATTAGTAGTTTAGTAGTAATAGGACGAGGGCATTGGTTACAGCTGAGACTTTGACAGATGGTGAGCTGGCGGTGGACGCCATTTCACATGTTATTCATGCATGTCAGCGGCCGGGAGACGGGATATCACACGAACAATGATAGTATGGAATACAGGGGGATTCGGTGGGCGGCCAGTAGCAGGAAGCGGGAAGCAGGTAAAATGCCAGTGCTGTGGCCTGTGGCCTGTGTTGGACCTGATCGCTACGGCACTGATTTCACGTGAAGATGCCAGACTGCCAGACTTGTACCATCAGCTACAACTGCGCTGCACCAGTACTACTCCGCGGTACTGCTCGCGATATAATACTCCACCGTACCTCGTACCTCGTAACCATCCCACCAGCGCCAAGCATCTCGTTTTCAGTTTTCCAGTGAACAGGCCTTCTTGACCTTCGTTAGTATTGTCATAAAGTGTCTCACAGTCATACTGGCTTCGGTATCTGAGAGTTGTGGTAGTGCCAATCCACACCCCAGCAGCCGCGCCACAAGGAGCTAGATTTCCAATATCATCAGCAGGAAATCCCATCTGCCATTTCGTCACAATCACTACAAGGCAGACAGCAGACAGAAACCCAGCAATATGTCTCTCACCAACTATATAGACCCGGAGAATGCTCCCAACTATGAGGACATGGAGAAGCAGTTTGCAGTGAAAGCCGTTCAGCATATGTCGGTGTACTGGTCCATCCTCGAAAAGCTGCCTGGGTCAAGACTCCGACTCACAAGACTAGACGATGATATTCTAGAACACTTCAAGCGAGAATTCCCGGACTTTGACCCTGATAAAGAGATTGATGAGGAGCAGATGAAAAGTAAAGAAGGCAAGGAGAAGTGGCGTAATTTTGCGCTAGTCTATGAAAAGGGCGAGAAGAAAATCGAGGACTACAATTTCGGCACTATGCTGAGGAAGAGTCCGAAAACTGAGTATGGAGAGAAGGAAACGATCTTTGTCGTTCGAATGCAGTTCTATGCAATTGAAATCGCCCGGAATCGTGCCGGTCTTAACGACTGGATTTATGAGCACGCTCAGAAGGAGGCCGCCAATAAGTCTTGAAAATGCGAACATGATCAGATCGTCTGAACCAGTCAACGGTGGGATGGGCCGCTCATGGACGCACTTGAATCGAATCAGCCTGCCTCAGATGAAGTCGGACAAGCTGCATTTTCGAAACGAAACGAAACCAGTCTGCCCTGGCCAATGGACAGGGGTCGAAGCTACGACAACTAGTGACCCTGAGAATGTCTAGAGCTGGTTGCCATGAATGCATACACATCCAGCAAGCAAGGAATGGGCAAACACTAGCTACCAGCCAGTAACGGGACTACCATCAGCCATGTTGGCCGACAACATTCCAGAAGAACAATATTAAGCAACCCTGCAATCCTAGCTTGGCAGGCAGACCTGAGAATTGAGTAGGAGTCAAGCCATGAGGAAGAAGACATCAACTCCCCCGCGGCGCAGTTTGTTGATATCGATCCGGTAATTGAATTTTCGTCTTCTCTTCTGAATGCCCTTTTCTGAAAGTCCTGGTCGTCCTTCTCATATGTGCCCTCGATTACGAGCTTCCTTCCGCAACGACATGAACAAAAATTTGCGAGATGAACGTGAGACCGAATCCAGGGCCCAACTTTGCCCCCGTGAAGGCCGCACAACCCGGGAGACCAATATTCTTTTACACAAGCAAGCCTCACATATTCATCCTTCTGTTCGCTGTTATCGTGTCAGCTGCTGCGGGACTGTTACAACCCGCGATGGCCATTATCTTCGGGAGATACTTTCAAGTGTTTTCAGATTATGCCTCCGGAAAGATCGATGGCCCGGCTCTAATGGAAAGAAGTTTGAGCAGCATCTACGCTTTGCTAGGCATCGGACTTTGTACATTTTTCCTCAAAGGTGGACTCCTCGCCAGTTGGCTAGTCTTTGGCGAGATGCAAGCAAAGGGCGTTCGCGAACAACTTTTCCAAGCTCTTCTGGACCGGGAAATAGAGTGGTATGACGAGCGAACGATCGGAGTTGGAACGCTTTTAGCGAGGATGCAAACGTATGACACTTCATGCTGGCGTCCTTCAACCACTGATCAAAGTAGACAGATCCGGGAGTTCCAACTAGGAGCTTCGCAGCCTCTTGGTCTCTCGATACTGGCTCTCGTCCAAGCATTGTGCTCCCTTGGCCTTGCCTTCCACACCAATTGGAAGCTGACTCTTGTTGTGCTGTCTGTCGTTCCTGTCATCGCCCTAGGCGTTGCCCTCCTCTCCCGGCAAACGCAAATATATGTCGAAATGCACAGCAGAAGATTAACACAAGCAACCAAAGTGGCGAACAATATCATTACGAATATCACGATGGTCAAGTGTTTTAATACCCAGGAGCAGGAGGGGCAACAATACCACTCGGCAGTGAAAGATGCAACTGTATCTTCCTGGAAGCAGGCAGTTTTCAGTGCGGCGCAGACGGGGTTCGTTCGATTCGCCGGCACGACCATGTTTGTCCAAGGCATGTATGCAGATAATTCTTAACGTCTAGATTGTCTCTCACAAGCGTGAACAGGCTTCTGGTTCGGCGGCACCCAAGTTCACTCCGGAGCAACAACTGCCGGAGATGTGGTCACAACATTTTGGGCGTGCCTCATAGCGACAAAATCATTTGAGGACATCCTTCCCCAAATAGTTGTTCTTCAACGCGCACGGGCCTCCGCTGCCTCCCTGAAGGCGGTGTTGAATCAAGTCTACACTGGACGAGTCTATAAGCCTAAGGCCCATGGTTTGTCCCCGCAGTTCTGTGAAGGAGAGATTGGGATGCAAGCTGTAGGTGACCCAAAGCTTGAAGCCACTACGACTTTTGACTCTTGAAAGGTTTCATTTGCCTATCCTGCCCGGCCCGACCAGGTTGTGCTTCGGGACTGTTCTTTTCACTTTCCATTCAGACAGACGACTTTCATCATCGGGCGAAGTGGTTCTGGTAAAAGCACCGTTGGTCAGCTACTCCTGAGGTTCTATGAAGCTCAAAACGGTACCATATCGATTGATGGCCACGATCTGCAGGATATTGAGACAACCTGGATCAGAAACAATATCACATTGGTTCAACAGCAGACTATCTTATTCACCGAGACGGTCTTTAAGAATATTGCTTTAGGACATCACAACTACAGCCGAGTGACTGCTTCGCGAGTAGGCAGCTGCCTGAAGATGGCAGACTTACAGAGTACAATTGAAGCTCTTCCCCAGGGTGTGGATACCAAGGTCGGTCGCGGCGGCTCATCCTTGTCGGGTGGTCAGAAGCAGCGCATTGCTATTGCGCGTGCTCGGTTAAGAGACACGCCAGTCTTGATCATGGACGAAGCAACGAGCGCGCTGGATTCCACGAGCCGAACTTCCGTCATGCAAGCGATTCGCCGCTGGCGACAGAATAAAACAACCATCATAATCACTCATGATTTGACACAGATTCACTGCGAGGATATGGTATATGTTCTTGATGGGGGACGAGTTGTTCTCAAGGGCCGCTGGAGCGATGTTGGGGATCTCAGCAAGGAGGTTAGCACCGGATCAAACGGGCCTCAACAGGGATTCGAGGCTCACCGCAATTGTTCCAGCGTAGGAATGTTGCTAGACCAATGTCCAAATGAAGACCAGGCCAACGAGGCACTCGTTTCTTCACCAGATTGTTCCGTCAGAAAGGCCTCATTCGACGCTGAAATGGAGGCTGTGGCGGAAAACAAGCCGGTCACATCTAATCGACCTATCATGAGTTCAGGTCCATTGAGTCGACGATTGAAGATGGAGCTTTCGGTCAGCGCAGGAGCCGTCTTGAACCACCTGAAGCGGCAGTCCCTCGCACGGGCTAACGCTATGTATGTGCTCGGACACATTCAGCCTCGAGTTGGTCCACTTCGGAACTGGCCTCCTGCTGTACAAAAAGGGCATATCAGTATGCGCGCGGCCACATTTTTGTCGAGCCCTCGCACACCAGAATTCATTAGCAAACCGCTCCCTGTGCCCCCCTTAATGCTCGAGCTCGGAGACAGAAACGAATGGTATCCCGACGCCACCTCCAAGAGGCGTGCAGCAGTAGCTGAAGAAGAGCATAAAACATACTCTACCTCCGCAATATTGGCGACTGTCTGGCCAGCCCTCAACACGTCTGATAGAATCAGACTTATTTGTGGGTTGATTGCGACGCTTTGTCATGCTGGAGCGCCGGCGACCTTTTCATATACACTGGTTCAAGTCTTTGGCACCTATTCTCTGTCAACTGGATATCGAGAAAAAGCTTTGGTGTACTCAATGGCCGTACTGGGGATTGCCGTCGTTGATGGGGTTGTATCTTTTCTCATGCAGTATCTATTGGTTGGCGCAAGTCAAACATGGGTAGATGATCTCAGAATGGCGGCAATGAAGGTCATCCTGCGGCAGCCTAGAGGTTGGTTCGATGAAGAGATGAATAGGCCAGCTGGCCTTGTGTCTTGCTTGGATGGCAGTGCCGAAGAAATAAAAGATCTTGTTGGACGCTTCGCTGCTCAACTATTGGTGGTGGCCGTGATGATGGTGGTGGCGGTGGTATGGTCCTTCATCACATGCTGGAAAATAACCCTCGTCAGCCTCGCCGCGACACCTCTTTTGTATCTCCTGACCAGGTGTTTTGAATCAGTCTCGTCTCATTGGGAGGCTCGAACAAATGAGGCATGCGAGCAGATCGGTGACATCTATGTTGAGACTTTTACTGACATCAAAACCGTCCGGTCACTCACTCTCGAATCCTACTTCCACCAGAAGTACAACCGCGCAACCGCGGAGGCCCTGTCTATTGGAAGGCGACGAGCGATAATCAGTGGACTTCTCTTTGGGCTCTCTGACTCGGCCATCATCTTCTTCACACCATTGATTTTCTGGTACGGGGCCCGTCTTGCGAAAGATAGGGAGTGGCCGGTCAGCTCCATCCTGGAGGTCTTCTCTCTCCTTCTGTTCTGTACGGCAAATGCCTCTGCGGTGGTGGCATATATCCCCGAGATCAGCACTGCGAAAAATGCGGCCAACCGACTTCTACGTCTTGTCCGAACACCCGTCATCTCACATGAAGATGTTGGCGAAGTACAACTGAACGAGAAAAACCCAAACACCCTGTTTGGGCCGATTCACTTCATCAACTTGACGTTCTCCTACCCTACACGCCCGGAGGTTGCAGTCCTTAGACGTCTGAACCTCACCATAGCCCCGGGGAAATGCACGGCCATTGTAGGTGCATCAGGATCGGGAAAATCTACGATCGCTTCACTCCTCCTGGGCCTCTACCCTCCAGAGGCGGATCACATGGCTCTTTCTTCGCCCACAGATCCGTCCGGTGGTCCACCATCATTGACACTGGCTGGCCGTGATATTCGAAGCTTGGACCTCGCAGGACTTCGCTCTTTGATTGCCATTGTGCCTCAGGCTCCAATTCTTCTGCCAACCACTGTCCGTGGGAATATCAGCTATGGTCTGGCACCAGACTCGCCACTGGCCTCAGCAGTTCGTATCGAGTCTGCCGCGCAGTTAGCTGGAATCCACGAGTTCATCCAGTCTCTTCCTCAAGGCTATGCCACAATCATAGGAGATGGAGGATTAGGAGTGTCCGGTGGACAGGCACAACGCATTGTGATTGCGCGTGCTCTGGTTCGAAGGCCCCGAATTCTTATTCTGGACGAAGCAACAAGCGCACTCGACAGCGAGAGCGCGGCTATCATTAGATCCAGCGTCAAGAAATTGCTGCACCAGAAGGAGCAGAGATTGACGGTGGTGGTGGTGACCCACGCAAAGGAGATGATGGCGTTTGCTGATCATGTGGTGGTGCTGGGGCAGGGTATCGTTGTCGAGCAAGGTTCGTTCCCGGAGCTTTTGAGCAGGAGAGCGGCGCTGTGGGAAATGCTGAGGCTGGAGAGAGGCTGTGAGCAAGGCCATGGTTGATCCTAGATCCATGCCCTACTGGTCCGACTCGCCCTTGTCTGCCGATGGACTTGCCGTGGCGACTGGCACATGCATGGATACCCCGGCCTGGGAGCACATTGCACGCAGACAGCACAGAGACTGAGACTCACATGCCGCGCACAGGAACAGGCGTAGATGGATACACTGATACAGTGCTGGTAGACCGAGGTTGCTTCAGGTCCGAAGAGAACGCAGTTGGTCACGCCGCCGGAGACTATTCCTGTTTGGGTTCGACCGGCCGACCTGCGCCCACCATCCTCCATACGGAGAGACTGCGTACTCCATCCTCCATCCTCCATGTATACGAACAACCATCAGCTGTCTCAGTGTCTACCCCGGCCACCCATCCATGACTTCCGAGTTACATACCACTTTGGCCTAGATCCTGTGGACTGCTGCGGTACATACTGTGTACTAGGCATCGCCCGCTTCAAGCTCTCCGCTTTGCCCCGGATTCAACCCTCTCGTCTCCGCCTTCACACGAGCTCTCCGCGAATGAGACTCCTCTCACCCTGGTCTCTTCGGCACCTAGTGTCGTCGATGATCAAGGACTACAACCAGCCTGGATAGTTGGCGTCACCCGCAATTTCGTCGTCTCCGCATCGGTCAGATCTGTGAGACAAGGCAAAAATACAGGTCGCCTTCGGGACTGGGAACCGACCGGCCATCCGACGATTGTCGGCATCTGCAGGCAATGGCAGGCCCAGCAACAAAACCATGGGAAGGCAGCAGACACCCCGCCGCCGTCGATGGTCTCTCGATTTTCTGCCTTTGCCAACTGACAGCAAGCAATCATGAAGACACTGCTACAGCTTGTCCTGGCCATCTTCTTCTTGGTCAACAATGGCAACACTGCCCCGACCTTTACGCTCGCTCCCACCATCACCATTGATTCTGGCCCTATAGTGGGAGTAGCAACATCACTCCCTGGAGCGTCTGTCACGATCAACAAGTTCCTAGGAATCCCCTTCGCAGCATCTCCCACTCGGTTTGCGCCGCCCGTCACTCCGACCCCTTGGAAAACCCCTTACAATGCCACCCAGTATGGCCCGGCTTGTATCCAGCAATTTAATTACCCGGAGGCCTCTCGCAATTTCGTCATCAAGTATTTCAACACTCCTCCTCCCCCGGCTGGGGAGAGTGAAGATTGTCTCAACGTCAATGTATATGTCCCAGGGACGCCGGGCAAGAACAAAACCGTGATGGCGTTTATCTATGTGAGTTCTTTGCTGGCAACAACCTTGGGGGACGGCGATGGCTGATTCGTGATTTCACAGGGCGGGAGTCTGGCCATTGGGGCGAATTCCCTCAGCAGCTACGACGGTACGTCGTTCGCGACGAATCAAGACGTCATTATAGTGACATTGAATTATCGTACAAATGGTGAGCAACAAGCTCGGCTGCTACTTGCCTCGATATGTCACGAACTGACGGCTGGCCCTTGCAGTTTTCGGGTTCCCCCTCTCTCCAGAACTACCGTTGACAAAGCGCAATTTGGGGTTTCTGGATCAACGTACGCGCAGTGAACTCCCCTCCGAGTTTGGTATCAGAGCGCAAAATCTAATGTAGTGCAGGTCTTGCTCTCGATTGGATCCAGAGAAACATCAAAGCATTCGGTGGCGATCCCAAGAAAGTGACCATTTTCGGGGAAAGCGCAGGGGCAGCAAGGTAACAATCACCAAGATCCACGTCCGTTTCGACTCATGTCCATGAGGACTAAGACTGTCTCAGTGTCGACATTCTGGTGACCACGCATCCCAAAAACCCACCGTTCCGTGGGGCCATCATGGAATCCGGGCAGAACTCGTTTTATATCAACCCGACGAACGACGCGACGCCGTGGCTTGCACTGGCCGCCGCGCTGAACTGCACTAAGACGTTTCCACACTCTAACCTGACGTGTATTCGCAACCAGACCGCCGCCACAATCAAATCGACCATCGAGCACCTGGCGCTGACTTTCCGCCCGGTCTCGGACAACGTGACCAACCTCCGCTTCCCTGAAGCGGCGCGACTGAACAGAAGCATTGCGCCTGTGCCTGTCCTGACGGGGACCAACGCCGACGAAGGCACGCTTTTTACCAATGGCATAACCAACGCGACGGCATACCTCAACGCCCTACTGCCGGGCCAGACGGCGCTCATCGACGCGATTGTGGCGGCGTACCCGCTCCCACCGGCGCAGCAGGCGGCCGCCATCGCCACCGAGTACGTGTTCCAATGCCCCGCGGCGATTCTGGCCAACGATTCTCACACCGCCGGGTTTCCGACGTGGCGGTACTACTTCAACACCACGTTCGCAAACACCCAGCTATACCCGGGCGTTGGGGTCTACCACGGCTCCGAGATTGGCTTGGTCTGGGGCACGTACCCGCGCGCCAACGCCACCGCCGAGGAAAGGGCCCTTAGCCAATATCTGCAGACCGCGTGGGCGACGTTCGCCAAAAATCCTGCCGGCGGCCCCTCATGGACTGGCGTGCCTTTGGTCGCGGACCTGGGCACTGGCGGCGTTCTCAACACATTGGTCTCTGCGGGCTCGTTGGATCGCAGGTGTGCGCTGTACCGACCGATCTACGAGGCTTCAGGCATAGCGGTGCCAGGAAGTGGCGGTGGCAGGTAGCGGCGCTGCGGCCGTGGTCAAACGAAGGGTGTATATACGTCAGCGGACGGCAAGGACAAAGGGAAGGAGAGGACGGTGTAATTAATCACTGGAAAAAAGGAGACGGATGCACACGAGGGGGAGCTGATTGAACGATGAGAAGGAGAGTTAATACTGCCGCGGATGCTGGACTGGACTACGGAGTCCTCGCCATGGATGCTCGAAACCTGACGATGCCCATCCGGGTCCGCCGTTTCCCGTCGCACAAGATGGACGAGTAGGATAATACCACGCTCCTTAGACTACGATGTCACGGTATACACAGTACCATGAAGCTGTGATCCAAACACTGCCAACTCAAGTACCTATACCGCTATACTATATACATGTACAGTCGGAGTATTATGTGTACGGAGTCCCTGTATCCAGCCTGTATCCGTAACCATACTCTCGCTGCTTTCACCGACCAACCACAATCCGCGCCATCAATGCCAAGCTGAATTTCCTCTTCCGGGTTGGCGTGTTTCTTCCTCCGATTTCGACATCGACATCGACTCGGACGAAACATGTTGCACCTCAATCCCTCAGCCACAAGCCAGACCATCTTGCCCTGACGCTTCCACTGGCTCTCCCTCCATCCACTGGCAGCATGTCGGACGCGCAGACTCGAAAACGCTCCAGGCCCGTGGATGGATCGGCCTCCGGCAATGAATCCTCCGACGACGACTTCGGCCCAGCGTTGCCCGCTTCCGTGCCGCCCAAGAAAAAGCGAAGGCTGCCGTATGAGTCGCTGTATGTGGATGCCTTGCCGAAAGGCGTGAGGTATTCCAGATCGTTAATGCACAGGGATCAGGTATCCACGGTGACCATTGCCCCTTCGCCCGCCGACTTTGTCATCACCACCTCGATTGATGGGGTGGTCAAGTTCTGGAAGAAGATGGCCAAAGGAATCGAGTTTGCCAAAGAATACCGGGCACACGAAAGCCAGGTGGTGAGCTCGACTGCCAGTGTCGATGGAGCCTTGTTTGCCACCACAGGTGACGAGAGTGATAACAGCATCAAGATTTTCGATGTCATCACGTTTGACTTACTGTCCATCTTGAACCTCGAGAACCCGGCGACCTGCCTCTGCTGGGTGCATCGACGCGGCGCTGCCCCCATCCTAGCGGCCGGGGTCGGGAAGGAGATTCACATCTACGATGGCCGTGGCGACTCGCAGACTCCCATGCATGTATTGTCATCTCTCCACCGCGCTCCTGTCGTGGCCATGGCCTACAACCCTGCCTTTGACTGCGTGGTGTCTGCGGACTCGGGCGGCATGATTGAATACTGGCAGCCCGGCGAGAACTATGAAAAGCCCGACACCGTGTTCAAAATGAAGGCCACCACCAATCTGTTCGATTTCAAAAAGGCCAGGTCTGCTCCGTGCAGCATCACCATTTCACCTTCCGGTCATCAGTTCGCCACAATGTCTTTTCCGGACCGGAAAATCCGGGTGTTTGACTTCGCTTCCGGCAAGCTTTATCGCTCATACGACGAATCCATTGAAACCATCACGGCGATGCAGCAAGCTGGGACCGCTCTGCAGAAGCTGGACGAGGTCGAGTTTGGTCGGAGAATGGCCGTCGAACGTGACCTGGACAATCCGACCGTGCGGTCGAGAATCAATATAATCTTCGACGAGTCCGGTCATTTTATTGCCTACGGGTCTCTTCTAGGCATCAAGGTGGTCAATACTCTCACCAACCGGGTCGTGAAGGCGTATGGCAAGGAGGAACCGTTCCGAGCATTGAACATAGCTCTATATCAGGGTGCGCCACAGAAAAAAGAAGTGGTCACCGTTTCTATGGCTGCCAGCGCCAACCCGCTCCTGAACGAGGCCGAAGAACGAGATCCTATGCTCTTCGCTGCCGGGTATGGGAAGGCTCGGTTCTACATGTTCACCAACGAAGAAGAAATCAGCAAGTCGACGCGAGATGTCCAGAACGAGAAACCGCGAGTGACTGGAGGCAAGAAGAAGGAGGCCAAACAGGCCCAGACAGGGACGTCTGCAGTTCTCCATACGACATACGGGGACATCCATATCAGGTTGTTCCCGGACAAAGCACCCAAGGCGGTGGAAAACTTTGTCACGCATGCGCGGAACGGCTATTACAACAATACCATCTTCCACCGGGTCATCAGGAAATTCATGATTCAGGGAGGAGATCCGCTGGGCGATGGCACCGGCGGGGAGAGTATATGGGGGAAGGAGTTTGAGGACGAGTTCTCCGACCTCAAACACGACAAACCGTACACGGTGAGCATGGCGAATGCGGGGCCCAATACGAACGGGTCACAGTTCTTCATCACAACGGAGAAGACGCCGTGGTTGGACAACAAACATAGCATTTTCGGCCGGGCGTACCAGGGGTTGGATGTGATACATCAGATCGAGAACACGAAGGTGCGCAAGGAAAAGCCGGAGGAAGACATCAAGATTGTCAACATATCAATCAGCTAGAGCTGGCGCCGTGCATGAGTCGCACAGCCGTCATGTTGGACTTGGACCTGGTCTTGATTGTGACATTCAGAAGGCTCGATCCCAAGCGATCGTGATTGCGGTTGGTGGAATTGACAATCCAGCTCGCTAAAGGCGGAGACTTGCAGAGCTTCGAGGAGTACAACAGACAACAGACAACAGAGTAGTAAGAGCGCCGTATATACCCATAGTTGCGTACCTAAGGCACCCAGTCTCTCCCGGTGTCTCTGAGTCAAGGAGACAAGAGTTACAGTAGTCGTGGTCAAGCCTGGCACAGAGACAGAGAATACTCGTACATACAGACAGATTTCCCCATCGACGCGTCCGTGCCCGTCTGGTTTCTCCGCACCGCAGTTCGCGACCTCTTCCACTGCAATTCACCATCTGGAAACTTTTTTGGCTCCCACTCCCATCTCCCATCTCCACGCGCGTCACACTCTCTGCACGTTTGTGCGTTCCGCTCGTTTGTCACGATGGTCAAACTCCTGGTCGCCGTGAGGGTCATTCCCGAGGACGACTATCTCCAAAACCTGCAACGGATTCCCCGGCCTCTCATCAGCAGGGAGAAGAGGTTACGGGTGATCGTGCGAGAGCCGCATAAATGGCAAATTGGCACCCTTGCCCTCGAGATTCAAAGAGCATACAAAAGTTGCTATCAGCAGTGAGTCTCCGTCCCTCCTCACCTCCTCCGTTTGGGCACGCCGACCGAGTTTGGGTGAACTGACGACCTCGGAGTGAGATGCCGACCATCAAATACCTCAAGGACAACGAAGACGATTGCGACCTCGACCCTCAGCTGTATGTCTCCGATCTACTCCTCGACGAAGGCAAAGCCGCCAAAGATGGAGCCGATCAGCGCGTCGCAATCAAGGCCATTCTGGAGCAAGGCCGCGCGGTGCGTGAAGGATCCGTGGCAGTGGGAAGCTTGTTGGACAATCCTCAGTTTCGGCTTCAACACCAGCAGACTTCGCGACCGCCCGTCCCGAGATTTCCTGGCGTCTCCTCCTCACTAGGGAAACGCTCGCTTCCCCCGGCCGACACCCAGCCTTACCCGTCTGATGTGATTGGAAGCAAGAGGCCGCGGCAAATTGAGATACCCGAGACACAGAGGGAAGAAAGCGTGGTCTCTTCCATCGAGAGAGATGCAGCGGGAGCATCGCCCGAGCTGGTTCAGGCCACGCAGGAAGAAGAGGCAAGGCAAGACCAAGACTCACGGCCGCAGCAGTCACCTCTGGTACCCAAGGTCGAGTCTCCCGAGCTTTGGCGGTCTTTTCAGGCCATGCCTGCCGCAACGGCGGATGAATTGGAGGAACTACCGGCCCAGCCTCACACCTTTGCATCAAGGCCAAGAACGACGGGGAACTCGATAGATACACAGCGATTATCCGGGTCTCGTCGACCCAACGGCGTCTCGTCGAGTGCCCAGATCGAATATTCCCAGGCACCCATCACACCGCCTACAGAGGCTTCTACAGGGCGTTCGACTTCGACAAAGCTGCGGTCTCAGGGCGTACGGGACGGTACCAGCATTCCCCATCAGCGATCGTCGACTTCAGCAGGCAAATTCAAACGCGTAGATGTCTATGACTTTCCGGAATCAGACATCGACGACACTCAAATGTCGCCTCGCTCGAAGCAAGCACGGCTCGGGCCTAGAAATTCGGCAGACCGCCTATCTCAGATTGAGCGGTTGCGATCTCCAAACGAGGACGGTGTAGAGGAGGCGCAGCATCGGCTCAGTGTCGACGAAGCGCTTGGTGCCTTGGAAACGGAGTCTGTCTTGGATGGCAATGGAGTGGCACCACTCAACTTTGTCACCCCCGAGGTGTCTGTGAGATACAACAATGCTCGGGACACGGATGATTCGGAAGAATCCATCTACGAGGATGCGGCCACTGACGACATCCAAATGCAAGACAGTCATGAAACCTCCCATCTTCACAAACAACCGACGCCAGCTCTCCCGGGACCGAGCTTGAATCTCGCTCCAACAACGGACGACGAAGTTGGCGACAAAGAAAATCGTCATGCAACCCCGACATCTGCTCAACCAGTCTCTGAGGCTTCTGGGCTAGCAGCCAGTAGCAACTCTACAGAGAAGACTCCTACCAAGGCAGGTCCCACACCAGCTCCAGCAAATGAGGTCAGGCCGTCTGAGGGCACACCCGCTAAGAAGAGACAACGGAAGAAGCCGTCAAAGATCAACGGGGACGAAAATTCCAGCCAAGTGAGTGGCAGCACAAAGCATTCCGCTGTTGCAGAGACGCCAGGCAAAGTAGCTGCAAAGTCGGCCAGAAAACCCCGTCGTCCGGCAGTGGCTTCTAGTCTGGACAGCCCGGGAGAACAGTTATCGCAGTCACTACAGGAGTCGGCGCGCAAGCAAATGTCTGCGAACACCCTAGGTAAGAAACAAGCGGCCCCATCCCGAGCAGCTGGAAAGAAGCGCAAGCAAGACGCAGCGAAGGATGGACCGGAAACAGCGCAAACCGAGCCTTCAATTCAAGGCGCAGCGGTCCATGCGAAAAAAACTGGCACAGCGCCCCAAAAGACCCCGAGGCAAAGAAAACGCGCTGCGCAACAGAAGCCATCAACGACCGATGAACAATCTGCCGCTTCGAATGATTCCCTTGCTGGTATTCTCGTGCAGAGATCAGAGACCGGCGCTGATAAATCGCTTCCTAATGCTGGCTCGAGCCCCAACAAGGCCGCTGACAAGCAGAAAACGCCCGTCCAAGACCAATCAAAGGCATTGACTGACGACAAAGCGGCGGACCTGATCCCAGTAGGCTTCACAGAGGAAGAGGCCAGAACCATGAAAAGTCGGGAAGGCATGACCAAGGAGCAGTACGAGGCGGAGAAGAAGCGCAAACGGCAAGATGCTGCACGCCAGGCGGCCGGGCAGAAGAAGAGAGGTCCTTCAGTGATGACGGACAGGCCTCTCGGAGCCAAGAGTGAAACTCCCGGTACCGCCGTGGCGTCGGGTTCCAACTCGACTGGGAAGAAAGCTCGGAAGAATGCTTCTGCAGAGGACGGGCCAAAGTCGAGTCGAAAGAGCGTCAGCGCAAAGGATGGAGCAAAGCCTGCTGTCGAAAACACACCCAGCAAGGCCACCGACGACGTCGTCTCCAATCAGCGTATGTCTGTCAGTTCGGCCAATCCCTCGACTGCCTCTAAACGGGGATCGTCTAAAGGAGCATCGTCGGTTGCGAACTCGTCCAAACCGGGCAAATCAGAATCTGGCCCAACACCTGCGACGCCCGGAAAGACACCAACCAAAAGCCCATCAGTTCAGCCGGCCAGTGCTGCTGTCAGCAAACCGGCCAAACCAGATCCCAAGGCGCGAAGCACAGCCAGCCGGAAATCAACTCCTGCCCCAGCGGCCAAGACTACCTCCGTTTCCAAACCCGGAACCAAATCAGCATCCAAATCCACTCCGGGTGAGGTCTCATCATCATCGCTCGTTCCTAAAGTGGCAGCTGCGCCGACGATCATGGAGGCGAAGAACTTGAAGGGCCTTCATGCGGCGCTTCGCGTTGCGAGTCAAATGCACTCGGCGTCCTCAAGCTCGTTGTCTCGGGCGTCTTCCCGACCGGCACCAGCGCAAAAGCGGTCGGTCTTGAACACGTCGACGGACGATGACGATGATGACGACAGCAGTAATGACGACAGCGACGACGAGGCAGAGAATCGCACCAAGGGAGGTGATCAGGCCAAGACCCAGGACTTGACGTCGTCATCAGGTTCGACGAGCGACGAGGACAATGATGACGATGACAATGGAAGTGAAGCCGGTCCCAAGTCCAAGCAGGTCGCGCAATCGAGTGTCAAGGCGAGTCCTCGTAAAGGTGTCAATGCAAAGACGGAGGTGGGGGGTAAAGGCCGAGGCAAGACTCTAGGCCAGCCTGATCCCAGTATTCGCGATCCGAGTGTTGATTCCGACGAGGACGAGGACGATGAAGACGATGAACTGTGGACTGTGGAGTGAACTGTGAAGACTAGGCAAGTAGGCAAGCAGGCAAGCAGGCAGGCAGGCAGGCAGGCATTGGGAGTGGCAGAGCGTACGGCGTAGAGTCAAGCTGCGAATCTACTCTACTCTACATATGCCGAGGTGGTCGCGAGCCTTGGGATGCGCCCACACCGGCTTGGTCCTTGTTGTTTGCTGTGGCTACTGCTGTGGCTACTGCTGTGGCAACTGCTGTGGCAACTGCTACTGTTGCTGTTGCGGTTGCTGCTGTGGCGACTGCTGCTGTCTCGATGTGTTGGATATGATGCCAGCAGTGCTGAACAGAACCGACTTGATACTTAGGTACTTAATTGGTGGTGGTGTTGGTTGTGACACTAGTATTGGACTTGGTTCGGCCTTGATGGTTGCGGTCGCGGTCGTCGTCGTGGAAGCTGTTGGCGTATTGGTGACGATTGGTAGGGTATGGTGTGGTATCTTGTGGTGTGGTGGTTAGGTCTACTTTGGTCTTCTCTGGTCTAATACTCTAGGCCACGCTCACCGTCAATCAGTGAGATGTAGATGCAGATGTAGATTCAGATTCGGATTCAGATTCGGATTCAGATTCGGATACGGCTTCGGCTTCGGATTTGTTTCTGTTATTGCTCATTTCTATTTCTCAGTTCTTATCTCTTATCTCTTTCTCGTTCTACCCTTCCAGTCATCGTAAACTGTTAACTGTTAACCGTCCACCGTCCACCGTGACTCGGCATCAGGTTGCTGTAGCTAGGGCCAAGGTGAGTCTGGACGTCGAACGGTCATCGGAATCGGAATACCGAACCGCCAGTCAACAGCCCGACTGGACAGCTCTGGACAGCAGTACTCGATACAGTCTTCTACTTAAGACCACTCGGGTTGGATCTGGATCTGGATCTGGACCTGGGCCTGGACCTGGATCTGGAAAAGAAACCCATTCTCAGTCCTCCTTGATCCCCCTACTACCAAGTATGCTTCAATTCCTTCCCATAATGCCCCTACCTCCACACGTCCACGTCCGTCCGTCAGCTTTTCGCTTTTTCTGCCTACCACGTCTAGAACCCCAAAAGCCGGCCAGACCCGATCCCGATCCCGATCCCGATCACGATCCCGGCCCCAGCCTCGGTCCAAAAGGCTTCTCACTAAGAAACCTCCGGCTCGATGGTGTTTCCAGCGACAATGTTGGCCCACCCGATCAGACGCCAATGCTTTTCGATTCTCCGGCTCAGGGCAATCTTCTCCCCAATAGCCGTGCATGCAGGTGTGGTCAGAGTGAGTTTGGCCGCGTCGGCCTTGACGCCCATGACTTTGGCCCCGGTGGCGGTACTGCCGATGTTGACCATGAGAACCTCGTTCTTGGCCAGCTTGGCCACTTTGGCCTGTTTGCCGTCGGCCGTCTTGACCCCAAGCAGTCGTCGCAGGAGGAAGTAGTTAACTTCCAGCTCAATGTAGATCTCGGGTAGCTGGCCCTTGAGACCCAGCACGTGGCCCACGAGACGGTCGGCTCTGCACAGCGTAGGATCGACACGCGTGCCCACACCAATGAGACCACCTGGCACGGCGAACTTGAGGTCGTTGTGTTCGGCGAACAAACTGACCACTCGAGACAGGATGGGTCGGCAGATGGTCTGACCCTTTTCGTCCTTGGTGATGATCCCGGGTCGGATTTCGACCTCGTCGCCGAGTTTCAGCACACCCGTCAATATCGAACCGCCTGCGACACCACCCTTCAGGTCCTCGATCTCGGCACCTGGCTTGTTGACGTCGAACGATCGGATCACGATCATGTGAGGCGGCGCGGTGAAGTTGCGCACGGGGACGGGGATCTTGGTAACCAGGTACTCGTTGATGGCGTCAATGTTGTATTTCAGTTGTGCGGAAATCGGGATGATCGGAGACCCGTCGGCCACTGTGCCCTTGATGAATTTGAGGATGGACTGGTAGTGTGATAGGGCACCTTCTTCCCGCATCAGGTCGACTTTGTTTTGGAGGATGATGATATGGTTGAGTTTCATGATTTCGATGGCTGCCAAATGTTCCGACGTTTGCGGCTGTGGGCAGGTTTCGTTACCAGCGATCAGCAGCAAAGCCGCGTCCATGACCGCGGCTCCTGACAACATGGTACTCATCAGAATGTCGTGACCGGGGCAGTCCACGAACGACACGTGTCGAAGCAGACGGTACGTTCCACCACATCCTGGCCTCTCGCAAGGAGGATCTACCTCCTTTTCACTCTTGTAGCTCTTGTAGCAGGTCGGCCGCGGGCATTCCTCGTTGTCGCACTTGTAGATTTTGGCATTGGCGTAACCCAGCTTGATGGTGATGTTTCGCTCCAGCTCGTTCTTGAATCTGACCGTCTGTACGCCGGAAATGGCCTTGACCACCGTCGACTTGCCGTGGGCGACATGGCCTATTGTTCCAATATTGATCGTGGCTTGTCTGGCGATGATCTCGGGCGTTAGAGGAGTGAGGGTGGCGAGGTTTAGGTCTCGAGGTTCTGGCTGTTCAGGGAGGACGGGTCGAGCTTCGGGGATGGCGGGGGCGGTGCTCTTTTTCAACGCAGATTTCGGAATTTGGTTGGTCTCTTCCACCTCGTCCACCTCGTTCTCTTCCCCAGGCGGGGTTCCGGGCTGAGAGAATTCGTCGTCCGACGGAAAGTCGCCGTTGGTCGCCATGATTGCGGCTGTTGTGGAAGTCCCGAGTAAAGGGATGGCCTTGTCTGAAGTAAGTTTACGCGGTAGGACTCAGACAGTGGGCGGCGAGTGTCCCGACCCACGAGTGGACGGTTTCGAGAGATTCAGTTGACGTCTCGGAGGAAATCCTGGCGATTATGCTGCTTGTGCCACTGGGGAAGAGAGGCAGAAGTGATTACAAGTGTTTAATGGCAAATGAGAAGGCCAAGGTGTTGATGGCATCGGCGACGGAGGGGCTGCAGGAAGTTGAAATTTGTGGCATCACCATGCCAAGGTATCAGCACCCCGTTTTCGGACGAGGGTGATGCCGCCCTGTGAGCGTGAGCGAGGGGTGGATAGCTGTGATTGGTGCTTGGTGAGACTTTAAAACAGCGTGACTAACTATACGAGGGAGTGCAGATACTGGACAATGACGGATAGATACTCCGTACACTACCCTTTGTAGAGTGCTTCCTGAATACTCGAGCCTACGGAAATCATTCTCCTATTAAGCAGGTCCACACTATATTGTGAAGAAGACTGTCCTCGCTGCTTTCACCAGCTTCGGACTTCCAGCTTTCTCACAGCCAATACCCTGCCTGTCTTAGTACCATTAACCGCTGAACCGTCATGACTCACACTTACAACCACGACTCACGACTCGACACTCAACAGAGAGAGCGTCCCGGCCCAACCTAATTGGCAGTTGGCATGGCAGTTAGCGTGGTGTCCTGACAAGTCAAAGGGCCTGAACTGTTCGGTGAGTCATAGCGTAGCAAGTGCCTTCGCCTCTCTAGAGAGGACTTCCAACAGGAATTAGACAGATCCGAGATGATATGTAAAATACCTGATACAGAGCATGGCTCGCTATATAAATACTAGACCAGTAGGGTACGACTGTAGCTCGCTACAGCCACAGTCACGCCACAGCCACAGCGCATATTCTATTCACATAGTTAGCTATAACTAGAGCTGCTCTCAGCCATAAACCCCTATCTGGAAACTGGTGACAAAGTTCTGTCCGGGTATCCAATAGTGACTGGTTCTGTCTGACGAGGAGGGGGAGAGAGAGGAAGAGGAATAGGAAGTAGAGATACCAGAAGGATTGGCGCTTTAGTATTTCCGGAGTAACACGTCCAGTGCACTGCACTGCATTCCGACCATAACTCCATATGGATACGGATAGGGATAGGGATAGGGATACTTCGTCCTCCATACTAGATACCTAAGGTAAGGTACCTAACCCACACAGCGTACGCAGTACGAATAGATACTGTAATATTGTTTGTTGTCGTACCTCTATCAGGTAGTTTTATCCGTGCGCCGCCCAGATGCCCGGTTCCGGCCCGGTTTCAGCGCCACTTTTGGCCCAAGGACCAATGACATTCCCGCCGCCAGCCTGAGACCGGGAGTCGGGAGAGGGGGGTAGGGCCGGCAGGGCCGGTGATTGAAGCACTGCCAGTGCATCAATCACAGACATAATTGATATTTGGCGAGATGAGAGATCAGATGCGAACTTTGCACCGGTCGGGCCCTCCTCGCCCCCTATGGATACGGATACTAATCCTACCTCCTAATACGCTGTACGCTGTACGCTGTGACTAGTGGACGCGCCGGCACAGGTATCTCGCCGCCGGTCGAGTTCGGTTCGCCGTGTCGAAAATATCCTCGCTTAACTCCCGTCTTTAATCCCGGCACGTCGACGACGAAAGGATTGCTTTGGTCTTGCTGTCTGTACTTAAAGACACTGGGTCGGCTGTATTATTATTGTCGTATGACGGTCAAGCTCTCTTTTCCAGTGCGGTCAACTTGAGGCTCTGCACATTCCAACCGAATCCCAATTCTTACGTCAATCCTGATACCAATCCCTGTACGAGATATAAATCTGGATACAATCCTTATATCAACCCTGATACAGTAGCGACTCCAACTCCATCAACCCTGTTACAGCGACTCCAACTCCAACTCAGTACAGAAGCTACGGATCAGAAATGGTTGTCGCGCCCCTAAATAAACCAGTCTTTTGAACATACCTCAAGGGACTGCTGGACGCGTTCCATCCAGCCCATCCCCTAGGCTTCCTGCAATGGCCACCGAGAAAGATATCGTCAGCCCTCCCGACATGGAGGATGGCCAGGAAACAAGGGTGGTTTCGAAGCACAACACCGCCGATGCCGATGCCAATGCCGATATCGATAGCACCGTCGCCACCTCCTCGGGACAGGAAGAGACGGCGCAAATTGACATCGAAGCCCAAACCCAACCCCAACCCCCGACCTCGGCCCTGGCCATGTCAAGGACCATCAGCCAGAAGCCGTACACAGCCTTCTCCAACAGGGCCAAGTGGTTCATTGTGATCATGACCAGTATGGCATCCTTCTTCTCGCCTCTATCGGGCCAGATCTACTTTCCCGTGCTGCCGATCCTGAGCGACAACTACCACCTGTCTTCGAGTCTGATCAATATCTCCATCACCACGTATATGATTTTCCAGGGGATCACGCCGAGCTTCATGGGCACCTTCTCCGATGCCAGTGGGCGACGACCGGGATATATCCTGGCATTCGCCATCTACACCGGGGCGAATATCGGTCTCGCGCTGCAGAACAGCTACGCGGCCCTGCTTGTGTTGCGGTGTCTGCAGAGTGCCGGCAGCAGCGGGACAATTGCGTTCGGATACGGCGTGATTGCCGACGTCGCCACGACCGCCGAGCGAGGAAAGTTCTTTGGTCCCATGGCGGCCGGGGTCTTGACGGCGCCCGCGCTGGGACCGACCATCGGTGGCCTCTTGACGCAATATCTCGGCTGGAGGGCCGTCTTCTGGTTCCTGACCATCATCAGTGGCGGGTTCTTGACCATATACATCATCTGCATGCCCGAGACCCATCGCAAGATTGTGGACGATGGGAGCATTGTGCCGCATCAGCGGTGGCGCCAGTCGCTGGTGCAATATCTGGCCGCTCGACGTCGGCTGAAAAAGATGAGTGCCACCGACAGAGAGGAGTACAGACGCGCACAGCTGGAGCTGGCCGAACGGCAACAGGGCAGCAAGCTCCGATTCCCTAATCCGCTCGGATCTTTTGTCATTCTCACCCACCCGGATGCATTCTGTCTCATCCTGTACACCGGCGTGACCATGTTCAGCAACTTGGTCGCCATGACCACTACACCAACCGTGTATCCCAAGCTGTATGGGATGGATGAGTTGCAGGTTGGGTTGTGCTTCCTGTAAGTTGGGATTTTCTTTCTTACCGATTTCTTGTTTTGGGATTTCTTCGCTTGCAGATTTCTTGTCCTTGGGCTTTCTTCGCTTGCAGATTCCGTGGGTTTGGGCCTTTCTTCGCTTGCAGATCCCGTGTCTTTGAGCATTTCTTCTCCTTTCCAATTCCACCCATCCCATACATTGACTGAGGTTTCAATCCACCCATTCCATATACTGACTGAGAGCTCAAAGACCACTCGGCGTAGCCGCCACAATTGGCGCACTTGTGAACGGCCGGCTCCTCGACTGGAACTATGGCCGCATTGCCCGTCAACTGGGCCTCAAGATTGACCGGAAACGAGGTGACGATCTCCTCCAATTTCCCATCGAGCGGGCTCGCCTCCAGTGCGTCTTCTTCTCGCAAGCACTGCAGGTGGCGGTTTTTCTCCCCTACGGCTGGGCCCTGGAGAAGCATGCCTCCCTCGCGGTGCCACTGGTCTTGCAGTTCATCATGGGTTTCTGTCTGGTGGTGTCATCGAATTCCGTCAGCACGCTGCTGTCCGACATTTACCCCAGCAAAGTGTCCACGGCGTCGGCGGCTTCGAACCTCGTGCGGTGCCTTTTAGGTGCCGTGGGCGCGGCCGTGGTTGATAATATGCTGACCAGCTTGGGAGTGGGTTGGTCTTTTGTCTTGGTGGGTTTGCTGTTGGCGGCCGCCACTGGCTTTCTATGGGTCGAAATGACATGGGGGATGGGATGGCGGCAGAAGCGGTGGTTGAAGGAACGGGGGGAGAGAGAAGAGAAGCAAGCCGAGCAAGCCGAGAGAGAAGACAAGGGACAGCAGCAGCAACGGCAACACCAAGCGGAGCAAGCCAAGCAAGCCGAGAAAGAAGAGAGAGAGAAGGAGCAGCAGCAGCAACGGCAAGCCGAGCAAGCCGAGAGAGAAGAGAAGGGACAGCAGGAGCAGCAGCAGCAATAGCAAGCCGAGAAAGAAGAGAAGGAGCAGCAGCTGCAACAGCTGTCACGGTTGACCCACTTCAAGTTGGTGTATATAACCGTCACAGAGACAAGAGCAAGCTGAGAGAGAGAAAGAGAGAGAGGAAAAGGAAGTGAGAGACATGAAGAAGCCATGTTGAGCAGCCAATTGATGTCGTTGAAGCGGCATGGCATGTCTGGTCTGGTCTGCACTACATGTACCCTTACCATGTAAAAGCGGCCAGGTAATAGGGTTAGGGTTAGGGTTGGGTTAGGGTTGCGGCGAGCCAGGGCTCAGCTCAGCTCAGTCAAGTGAAGAAGGGAAGGGAAGGGAAGCGAAGAACAAAATTACGGATACTCTGTACAAGAACAGAAGTACTGTGTACAAGAACTAGAGGACCACAGTTTTACTTGATCTAAGTCTAAGTCATACAATCCGGCATTTCATTCATTGAATCAACTCAACTCCAATTCTCCAGAACGACTTCGTATAGAATAGATGGATATGATATGTGCTGTACCAACGCAGTTGGGTCACCTCCAGCCACTCAATCACTACCTTACTGATCCAGACTGGTCGGTCAACGGTCCTATGCAACCAGGAGATCTGTAGGTACAGACATGTCGATTCAGAATATAGGTATGAATGAATGAACTGCTTCATCTGGTGTCAAGTCACTCAGGACCCAGGAAAGGCATCCCACGACCAACTACACGCCCTAGTCCTCATCCTTAAGCTTGACTGACTACTCGTACACTCCCCTCCTCATCCTTGAGCTGACAATGCCTCCTCCTCATCCCTTAGCTTGACCTTATTCCACCACACAGGCAATCCCGCAAAGACCTTGGCGCGCAAACTGCCCTGAGTGGTGGTGCGGTTGAGCCTGGTGGCCGGCCCAACCACGACGGTACTCTTCAAAGCCTTCTCGAAAAGGTACTTACTCCGGTCCCTCCTCTTCCGGTCGGCACGCTGCCTGAAGACCATCCACACGACCCAAAGGAGGCCCAGGACCAAGGTCAAGACCCCCGAGACGATCCAGTAGACGCGAAAGGGCCCCATGACAATGACCTTATCGCCATGCATGGTCCAGTCGAAGATGGGTGTGGCAAACAGATTGGCGATGAAGGTCCACGGCAGAAAGATGAAGCCGGCCAGGGCCAGCGCCACCATGGCCGAGTTGGATCGCCGGCCCTGCCACGCGATGGTCAGGCCGATCCGCGCATCCCGCTGCACCACCTGATGTGACATGATGGCCATCTGTTTGTCCAGTCGGTGAGACAACGTCTCGGCGTCGTGCAGGTAGATGCTATTGAGGTCCTGCATCTGGTACAACTTCTGGTCGAGCTGGGTGCATTCGTCTTTCTGTTTGTCGTCGCTCAACGTCGCCGTGTACGTGGCGTTGCAGCGCTTGATCCAGCCGATCTGGTCGCGGAAAACGCGGAGGCGGAAAAGAACGTTGGTCAGTTTCCCGCTCAACACGTGGAATTGGTCGACCGCCACCTCCTGCGCTTCCGCGATCATCTCGGCGTCTTCTTCAATGTTCGGTTGGTAAGGAGGGTCGATTGTTCGGTCCAAAACCCAGTCCCACGTGGCCAGACCCAGCGTCTTCTCGATCTCGCGAGTGTCCCAGTTCATTTCATCGAGTAGTTGGAACGTCCATTGCAAACTGATGGTCATTTTGATGTACGCCAGAAGCATCGGATGGGCAAGGTGGTGGCGAAGTCGTAGAATCTCGGCTTCGAGTTCTTGTCGTCGTTCGTCCCCGTCGCCTTCGCGGTGAAACATGACCGCGGATGTGTGTCGTGTCGCGTGGAAGTAGGACCAGGCTATCGCCCACGATGTGCCGCTGGTGTAGAAGGATGTGACAGCGCCACCGTCAGCGCCTTCCTGTCCAATTACTCGATAGGGAGAGTCGTCCCAGAATGTGATGTGTGAGCGAATGTAGGCCCCTAGAGAGGCCAGGGGTAGTTTCGTGTGGCCAAAGATCTCTTTGACCATCGTACGATGCAATTCTCGGTCGGGAAGAGGCTTGACTTCCGATCGACAAGGGATCGTTCGATGTTTTGGATTGTTCGCCGGGCTCCTGCTGAAGTCGTTGTGTGTTTGGATGAATAAGATCTTGAGGGCTGGTTGGCCGGTCCAACGGGCGATATCTTCCGTGTTGACGTTACTCGGTCGGAGCCACTGTTTGATGCCGTCGACGTCTGGTTTGGATGGTAGTGTCACGATGGACGGTTGTGATTGTCCGGCCGTGAGATGATACTGGTCGATCTTGTGGTGGCCGTTATAACTACTCAATTCGCGATCAAGCATGATCAAACCGGCCTCACTGAGAGTGTTGGAAGTCATTGCTTTGGAGTCAATGGGAAGGGATCCGTGGCGGAGGAGTCAATCGAGAAGCTCTCGAGAAGATCTGTGATGGTGAAGCCAATGGGAAGATCTGTGGTGAAGGAGTCAATAGGAAGATCCGTTGTGAGAGGTCGACAGTGAAAGATCGGTGGTCAAGAAGTACAGAATATATATACTTGATGTCGTCGTGAGCAATAGGGGGAGTGTAAGTCAGCTAGGTGGTCAGGCGCAACCCCTCCCTGAAAGGGAAAGGATCTTTACCCTTTACAGGGAAGGCTGTCCGGACGGTGCTCAGAAACCTAGGACGGAATGTTATTGCTGACAGAGTAGAGTAGAGTAGATAGACCAAGAAGAGAATATAGAAGAAGCGTAAGAAGAAGCATCAGTAAGCCATCAATAAGCCCATCCCATCCCTTTTACTTTATAGAATCCAGTCGTGCCCAAGGAACCACCCATTTAGGCTACTAGGTATATCTGTACGGTAAGGAACAACAACCCCCCCTTCAAGGTTTCGCTAATCAGGACTGGAGTCACAAGACACAAGACACTCACTCACTCACTCTCTGTGACAGTCTCAACTCTGAACTGCCAGGCTAGACTAGACTAGACTAGACTCCTTAGATAGGAGAGAGGAGAGCATGGTAGACGATCGTATCGTATCGCATCGCCGAGGAATTGAATTGAATTGATCACAGACCGCGGCGACTTCGTATTCGAGGACAGAGTATGCAGTACGGAGGAGACGGCAGGGACAGGGAGTAGTGGGCAGGGAGAAAGCATGGATGGTATGGAACGGCAGAGAGTGATTAGTGGGCAGAGACAAGGCATGGATGGCATGGAGGTCGCCGAAACCGTGCGCACCATGGCAGGGCAAGGCAACCCATCTACCAACCACCAACCACCAACCACCAACCGTCTGGACTCTGAATGATGTGCAAGGCAAGGCAACTGTCTGAATGATGAATGATGTGCAAGGCAACCCAACCACCCCCAACTATCTGAATGATAGATGATAGATGATAGGGTGTGAATCATGTGTGAGTTCTTATCGGCCGGTTCCGGTGCCCAGCGGACCAATGGGAACCCTTCAGCCGGGCATCGAGGGGGCCTAAGCGCCGCGGACTGTTTCTTCAGCCTCATCCAGGGCTCAAGGCACGGCTAAGGCAGACTCGGGTCGCCTTTCCCGTCTCCCGGTTCCCGACTCCCGTCAAACTATGGAGTACTGCACTACGGTTGAAAGTCAATGTTGCTGCCTGCTGTGGTATTCTGTGCTGTTCTGTGCTGTGCCCGGCTGGGCTTCGCTTCGCTGGGCTGGACATGCCGGAAATATCAAGCAAGAGTCATAGTCATGTGGGCAGCCGATGCTGGTTCCTGCGAAGTAAGACTCTAGACACTGGACACTAGACATGGACACTAGACACTGGACACTAGACAGTCGGGGCGTAGAACTGCCATCTATTCGTATGTACGGATACTCTGCCTTGTGATGGCCTGGTATCATACCATCAGACCGCCCCCTGCCCTGCCCTGCCTGCCCTGCCCGGGTCTAGACTCTGATCATCTTGTTCTTGTGCAGAAAACTGGGAAAAGAACGGCCATGGGATCTCCAGGAAATCATTCTCATGGCACATCTGGGCCGTGGTTCTACGGTCTAGATGTCGAGGCGAGGCTGCCGGTCCAAGCCAAGTCTCTTCTACCAACTCTCCCCTCTTGCGGTGGCCCGGCCCAGATGGCTCGGTGACCGGTCAGATTTAACCCTGCTCGTCGAGATCGCCGTCATTCCCCTCTATGATCTCGTACCCTTCGCTTCCGTCGATTTCATCCTCGTCGTCCTCGTCCTCATCCTCATCCTCGTCCTCCTCGTCCTCATCCTCATCCTCGTCCTCATCCTCATCCTCGTCCTCATCCTCATCCTCGTCCTCCTCGTCCTCATCATCATCGTTGTCATCGCCTCCGATAGGCTTCAAACCATAGTCATCCTGGAAGAAATTCAGGTCTCGGATTTCAGGGGAGAATCCCGCCCTGGTGAGACCTTCTGAAATGGCCTGTATCACGCAGTCAGCAACCGATAACCTCTGAATGGCTTGCATGGCATAGCAAGACAAAGACACACTTACCTCCTTCAGTCCAGGCGCACAAGTGACTATGATGTCGGCCTTCCCGGGTGTGAAGACATTGTACACCACTGTCTTCAGCGCATCCTTGATATCCTCCACCTCGATGGCTCGCACCTTCTTGAGTAGCCTTTCCATATGATCCTCAGGCAGACCTTTCATGACGGACCGGATGAAACTGGCCGCCGCGGCGCTGGCCAAGGTCTGTTGCTCATTGGCAAAAGCAACGACGATGCTGCTGATGGCGCCCTCTAGCATCAACGAGTCGAACTCGATGCTCCCCGTCATGTGGCCCTCCACCACTTTCCGACTAGCTTCGACCGCTTTGTAGGCGTCGGGGGACCGGTAGACGTCCAGATAGACATAGCCAGACTCTAGGTCGTAGCCCATGTTGGTGCCGTATGCCAGGCCGGTGCCTCGCACCGCGCCCCAGAGCGGGCCTTCCACGGCGTTCATGTAGGCCATGGCAACCATGACGGCCGGCATCTGGGGGTCGTCGTACGAGATCGGCCCGCGCGCTGAGGCATACGCAAAGGACGAATCGATCGTCGCCATTGGCACAACATACGCCAGCTTTCCTGGGTTTCTTCCTGCCTCGCTGAGTCGATCGATTCGACGGCCAATCGGCGTAAGCTGCTTCTTGGTTTCCAGCCCGTCCAGGAAGGGCTTCCATGTACTGACTGGGCCTTCCACCTTGTCAAGATCGGTGATGACCAGTACCCGGAAGTTCTCAAATCGACAGAGGCTCTGGCGCAACTGTTCGAATTGCTGCACGACGTGGTCTGGATTCACCTCCAACAACTGCTTGATTCGTTTCAGGTAGAGCGCCTTGACTAGTGTACTTCGCGCACGGCCGATAGATTTGGGCGCAAGGTGGATCATGCGATTCACCGCCACCAGCATGTCGTCGCCGTTTCGTTTGGCATCGGGCACATCGGCAAGCAGTCGTGCGTTGATGGCCTTCAGCCTTTCCACGTCGAAGATGGAGTTGAAGAGAAGTTCGGAGAACCACTTGACTGCTACGTCGTAACGTTCAATCTCGACCTGGAACCCGATCTTGATTCCTTCCACGTTGCCTAGGTTTGACGCTGCGTCGATCGAGTAGCCCACTGTGTCCCGTTCCAGCTCCGTCACCACCTGTTCAAATCCAATCGTCTCTGCACCACGCTTCACCGGCAGATTGAAGAAGGCCTCCATGTAGATGGACAGCAACGGCCGTAACTCGTCTGGAATTGTTTCGGTCGAAAGGATCAGGTTGACTCGGGCAAAATTGGACGGGATGTGTTGGAAATCAAGGAAAAGAGGTACGTCTTTGGCGTCATTGTCGATCACCTGCTGGTATCTGTTTTGTGGCTTGCCAATCTTCAAAGCAAGGCCTGCACGTGCCCCTGAGGTGTTGACAAAATGGATCGACTCCGGCGACGGGACCTTAAACTGAGCAAGCAGGTCTTGAGGGATCTCGCGATCATTCTCGGCCTTGGCCTTGTCCAGCTTCTCCTGCATTTCCTTCAATCCTTCAGGTCCAAGTCGTTGCTTTTGTTGCTCGATTCGATTGGCCTCGTCCGTCTTCAGCTGTTCGGATAGACGGGCAGACGGTACGCCCAGGATCGATACGTGTGGGGCGTCCGAGATGTACTTCTTGATGAAATCCCTCCACTGTTGCTGGCTCCAGGACGTCAATGTTTGTGTGTACTGGCGCAGAGATTTCACGTTCTCTAGAGTAGATCCGTCCCTCTTACCGTACAGGTAGTCGGAGATGATGTAGTCGGCAAAGGCAGTGGGCGAGCCTTCGGCATTGAACTTGTACGTCCGCACTTGTCGATCGATGCAGTCCTTGATGAACTTCATGTCCAACGGCTTGGTCATGGCTTCTTTCAAGACTTCAAAAAACCGCCTCTCCACCTCCTCCAGCCGGCCAGTCTCTACACTGGACATTGAAAATGCTATTTCCGTGCGCGGACGGCTGTCAAGTTGGTAGTAGACTCCGCTCGCCAGCTGCTCCTTCTCCACGAGAGTATTGTCAAGTAGGGCAGCGGGCGACCCGGCGAGATACAAGAGCACGACATTCAATGCCGCCGTGGACAGCGAGTCTGCGCAGTCAGGCCCCAGAAAGCGGATGTCAATTTCGCCGAACGATTCGTCTTCCTCAGGAAACTCGACTCGCTGCAAAGTCGACGTGGTCAGAGGCGGGGCCTGCTTGGACTCAATCCAAGGTCGGCGGAAGGGAGCGTTGGGGCTGGGAATGTCACTCAAGATCGAAGTCTCAAACTCGTCCAGAATAGAAAGCAGCTCGTCGTGGTCGACCTCGCCAAAGAGGGCCAGGCAGAGATTTTTCGGCTGGTACATTTCGCGGTGAAATTCTCGAATCCGATCAGCTGTCAGGACACGGAGCTGTTCCATCATACCCCCCGTCTCATAGCGAAAACCCACTCCTTCGGGATAGAGGACTCTCTTTGACTGTAGCTCGATCAGCTCCGCCGCAGTATTCTGGACCCCTTGCATCTCCGAGTAGACCACACCCGCATCGTGGCCGTTCCCGTCAATGTGATGGACTTCAGTTGTGCAGCCTGAATCCGTCAACGTGGGGACAATGACATGCTCCAAGTAGACGGGGAGGATCTGGGCAAATCCCGCCCAGCCAGCCGTTTCCAAGGTGTAGGCCGTGTGGTCCGTTGCCGTCCAGGCGTTGGTGCCGGAATACGCACGAGTCGCGAGTTTGTCGAGGAAGCCCTTGTACTTGTAGCTCTTGGAGCCCATGAAGCACAGGTGTTCTAACGTGTGCGGAGCTCCCGAGTCATCGTGGATCTCGGTGGCCAACACAAAGAATCCGTGCAGTTTCGGTCCTTCCTGGTCCACCACCACAACTCGCATGCCCGTTCGGTCGGATTCATACTGGGTGATCTTGCTGGGAGAGTAGTCGGGCAGAATCTGTTGAAGCTGCCGAAAACGTGGGCTGGTCTTCGGTGACACCATGTTGGCCGCCCGCGAATCCGCCGGGCAGACTCTGTTTAATGGACGGACGTGTCGTGACGCTGGCCTTGTGACAAGCTCGAGTTAGCTCGGACTTTCTCCGCGTAGAACAAACCCGTCCCGGACGCCAGTATTCTCTCGAAACGATGGCCGTGAAGAAGCAGACGAGATCAGGCAAGAGACGCCACGCAAGCGAGACCACGCAAGCCTCATCCAGCCAAGGGCTGCCTGCCTGGGCCGTCTTTGAAAGCCTCGGGGACATGGCACCAGAAGGGATGCCAAGTGATTACGTGGTGGAACACACCTGAGTCCTGGCCTGTTCTTCGCCGCCGGGTTTCGTCTGTCCTAAGTTCCAACTGCCACAGGAGGGAGTGGGAGTGACAATTCTGGAAGGAGAGTGTGTCAATCTGTCGAGACAGCAAGGAATAGAGGCAGCCTCCAAGTCCCAAGTTGTAACAATTCCATTTTGCGCATCCGGAGTCTACACTCCGGAGTACGCCATCCGCGTCTTGGCATTTGTCTGCCTCTCGCCGCTTTTGGCGGTTGGACCATCCGTACCACCTACATAGGTACATACCTATCACCACCTATTGGTGCCTACATACTACATACTACCAATACTGTAGGTACTTGTATTGGCAGTAGCAGGACTCCGTGATTACCACGTACTTCAATCAGTAGGATCGCTATGGTCATGTTGCTGGGTGTAGAGAGCACCGACAATTGTATTCCCTTTCGGCATTTCAGCATCTTCGTACCAGCCGAAACATATAGACTACTCCGTACACCTCGACGCTTTGTAAGAGACAGTGGTTCCAAGTATGGTGGGTGATGCGAAATCAAGTATTATCATGCAAATATGCAGAGGAATAATATGTGTCTCCTTGGTGGTCCAGGCCGTGGTCTATACAAAAATGCTCTGAAGCTCCTCCTCATACTATACCATTCTCCCAGAAACTGAAACTTTTTGATTACACCCCCAAATGCTGATGTGGCAGAGATCATCTTCAAATATGCCGCTCATTATCCGCTTCAAGTATGCACTGGAAAATGCTGTAAATGTCCGTGATCGTTACGGGGCGTTGGTGTATAGCTCTTGAAGCGCGTTTTGTCCCTTCCGAAGAGCCCGGTTCTTTTGCTTCTTCTCTTTCTTCATTTTCATTTCTGCCCACCCTTGCTCGTCGTCATCGTCCTCCTGGTTGGCTAGTGGAGATCTCCGGCCGACCGTGTTGACTGAGGGTTTACCTCCGTACATGGAAGCTCGAGGGGCGTTGTCTGCTTGCGACCATGGCCGGGAAGAGGATGTGGTGAATGTAGACGCCCGTCGCGTCGAAGAGGCATCTGGCTCGGGAGCAATTGACACTGGCCTATACCTCGATGCAAGGCCGACGTTGCTGCGCTCCGACGGAGCAATCGAAGGTGTGTAGTTCCCACCATTGATATTGATGGACGGTACAAACGACGGATGGGAATTCCATGGAGCCATGCCCGGATTGAGAGTACTCATAGTCCTCTGACCCAGCTGGGGAGCCGATGCATGTTGCACATGTGACGACTGTGGCCTTTGTGGACCAGGTTGAGGAGGCATACCCGGCGGGAGGTTGCCCGGGCCACCCATCATTTGCTGCACCTGTTGCATCCATTGCATTTGAAAGTGCATCATTTGAGTCATCTGTTGGGACATTTGAAGCTGGGCTTGCTCCCCCGGGCTTATCATCGGAGGCATACCCGGCATTCCAGGCATTCCCATGGGGTAGCCCATAGTAGACATGCTGCTCGTCGTTTGCGATCTCGGTAGCATTCCAGGGTGAGGCGGGAGGCCAGGTATTTCATAGGTTCCCGAAGGATTCGGGCTGCCTCTTCTTGCGGCGCGTGCCCGTTCTTCTCCGGCAATGACGCCAACCAGGCCTGCTGGATGCATCGGATGGGCCGTTGATGGGCCAGCTCCCATGGCAGGACTGGCAGGGTGAATCGATAGAGACTCTCGATTGGATGGAGCAACAAGGCCAGCTCCGTAGTAGGGATCCTGAGGCAGATGCCGGGCGAAGACCGGCAAGTTGCCCCCCTTGGGAGCTTGACTCACCACAGATGGTGCAGCTTGGGGTTGACTCACACTACGGAGGTTCGAATTCGAGGGCAATTTCGAGAGTCGAGTGGGTGGTCGATTCTTGTTCGGGAACCCATGTGCCGCTAGGATCCCCAGTGGTACGTCCTCGTCTTCCTCCTCTTCCTCGCCACTACTCCTGCCTGACTGCTTTGAGTCCAAAGTCAAATGAGACAGTCGATTGTTGAGATCACTGGAACTTCCATTGCCTGGCCTCAGCGCGCTCAGACTACTCTCGGGTCTGGACGGTACTTTGTCGCCTGTAACTTTCATCATTTGTTGGCGGTACACGGCTAGGTGAGCCTCCTGTTTCCGGCGTTGCTTTGCAGCTCGACGGTCGCGTTCGACCTCATCCTCATCCTCGTCATCGTCATCAGCGGCGGAGCTGCTGTCGTCAGACAGAGCTCCTAATCTGCGATCCATCTCTTTCTGCTGTTTGTATTGTTCCCATTGTGCCGGCGTCATGATCTTGTTTGCTGAAACTGGTTTCGGGGGTGCGGTCTTAGTCTCCTGGTACATACTGGCGAGCTGTGCATCGGCTGCGATGGAAGGGTCAAATGTTGCGCTGTGCGTCGAGCTTGGGGATAGCGCTTCGTCGGCTTCTCTGGTCGGACTTGTTGACAGCAGGTTAGTATCCGTAAACCTCGACTGCAATGGTGGTGTCGGTTCCACATCTTCCTCTTGTGTGGTCGTTCGCTGGCCCACTGGCTTCCTGGACGGAAGAATCGATCGTGATGATGCAGGGCTTTGACTGGAACTTTGCCGATTGTTATCTCGAATCATGGTAGGGCTTCCTTGAGTGATGGTCTTTGAAGGGCTGGGAGATCTCATTAGGCCCTCCCGAGAATTATGAGAGCTCCATGAATAGGGGGAAGATTCAACAGCTTGGGTCCGATCCGTCCGGACAGGAGGAGGCACCGGTACTCTGCTGAGACGAGAATGAGCGGCACCGGGATAGCTAGTGGGAGGATAAGTTGTCGGAGATGAGAAGATGGGTTCCTAGCGATTGTCAGTCTACCAAAAGGAGAAGAAGACAGAACAGAAAGCTACCTCTTGCTGTACATGCCGCACAGGGGGTGGCCCAGGGCTAGACCCGATATGGTCGAACATGTTGCCGAAGCCATCTAATTCGGAATTGTCCAGTGCTAGATCAGAATCGAAAAGTCGGGGTGGTGTCGCAGTGCTAGCACTGCTGGAAGTAACTGCTCTGTTTCTGCTGTTGGTTAGGGCAGCTGGTTCACCAGGAGAGAAATTAGGCGACTCTCGGCCGCCTTTGACGATTCCAAAGGAGAACGTTCGCCCGGGACTACGTAAGAAGGCGGTTTTGGCTGACAATGGAGGCGGCACCGGAATGTCGTTGAGAGGCCTTTGTGTGGAGTTCTGGACATTCTTGTCCGACTTCGTATCGAGAGAAGATGGATTCGTGGAGGAGATGCTCAGGCGGGTAGAAGATGCACCACTATCGTAGGGGGCCGTAGAATGAGAACGCTCCGTTCCACCACTTCCACTAGACACGGTCAGCTTCCCAATTGTGAAGACATGTACGGTTCCTCTCGCCTACCGGTTGTTCCCATCCTGCCGCCCTCCCGTAAACAAATCGTCCTCTTCATGGTCTTCATGGTCCTTTGGCGGTGGCCTCGGTGCTCCGGCTGAAGCCATTCTCATCGTTATACCGCCATCAAAAGACTTTCCTTTGCTGCCTGGCCTGTCCAAAACTCTGAAGGAAGAGTGAGAGTCGGGAGGATTACGAACTTCCTCCAAGGCATTTCCTGAAGACTTCCGTCGCTGAAACCCCTTGGGCAGCTTGATTGGCATGAAGGTGGTTTGGGCTGACTGCAACGAGCCCGACTGAGGGACCAATGGATTGCTGACTGGATGTTTGACGGGCCTCGGTCCGTAATCGAAGGGCGAAGGGTTTAGAGACGCAGGACTAGCACGAGGTCATGGGAGTACGTTGGACGCGGCCGGCAGCCTGCATGAGAGACTGTGGTCAGCAACGAGATCCCCGACGAGAAGGCAGTTCAACATAGGCTTACCGTGCGCGTATTTCGTACAGCGTCCTTGACCTATTTTAACCCACTTGCCGTCGGCGGAACGGTTAGGAACGAGAGCCACACACTCGGATCTCAACAGGAGAGCTGATTGATCCAGGTGGTTGGACGAATTGTTGGGTCAGACTGCGGATGAACACTATACTTTGGTAGAAGTGAGGGATGTGAGAGAACAGGAGCAACAGCAGGACGGAGAAGAGCTGAGCTGAGGATTGACAGCCTTCAGAACTGCCACGCTTGGATGAACATGCAATGCAAGGTGACGGTCAAGTATAACAAAGTGCTAGACTATAGCGAATATCGAAAATGAAAACGAGATGAGGACAAACAACAAGGAGTGTCGACCCAAGCTGCGAGGGAGTGGACAACGTGCAGTCCAGGATCCTACAACCCGGCGACCAGTTGCCTGCGGCCCTGCGCTCGTGTGGTTTTTCAAGACACGCCCCAAAACAATCCCGGTAGGTGCCCGGTCCGTTTAGGCGACTTTAGGTAATACTAAGGTGCGCCACGGGCACCCATCAGGCATGTCCCGGCATAACATAGCCCAGCCCCATGCGAGCCAGGCACCCACCAGGGGTCGCTTTCAGGGCAAGCTGCGGTGCTAGTCTCCGCTTAGTAGGAGTACGACTGTTCCCCTGCGAGCTGATCAAATCGTAATAACCACCTGGTACACCTATTATTATTATGTCGGAAGATGCGAGAATCTTTCGGTGCTAGATTCAGTAGTTAATGTTGCCATTGTTTGCTTGATTTACCCTTCTCAACGCGAATCAAAACATCCGCCGTGTGCCGCTAACCAGCACGGTAAACAAGGGGCACTCAACATCTAGTGCCCTGGCTTGCCGGCGAGGGCGGCATTTCCCATAGTCTGTGGTTTCTCCTCACTCTCTGCTGCTTTCGGCCACTTCATCTCCGTGTGCGCCGAAGATGCAGTCATCAGGCCATCTTCCGTTGACACTTCGTGCAACCCCCGGCCAAGGGCCTTTCATTTTGGCGCTCTTGGTTCGTACAAGGGATGCAACCCTCCGGTACTGCTCCACGCGATTTTTGCTTGCCCCTGGGGTAGTGGCTTGCCCATTCTCGGGGTCCACATTTTGCAGGACCTCCTCCTGACCTGGAAGACATGCGCCTGGGAACCGAAAGGAGGAGGCGACGATCTGGGGACCTCCTTGTCCAGATCACCACCCTGTCCGTGGCTTTGCACTAGTTAAAACCACTCCGCAATAGCCTGGTTGAGGGCTCGGGAGCGGCGAAGTTGAAGGCAGCCCTGGCAAGACTGCGATTCCCAGATATCGTTACCCGTGAACGACACGAACCAATGGTCCAAGTCTCTGCAGGACACGCCTTCAAGTCTCGTCGTTGCCGCGGTTGATTTGGACCACTTTATCCTCGCCCGCGCTGAGAATGCCCACCTCATTATGCCAGCACACTGCAAACACTTTGAGACCCTCGCCGACCGCTGAACTAGCCTTCCCTTCCAGGCTTGCCCTCGGCAGGGTATACAAGCTATGCCCGACCGCCCCCTCTTTCTCCTGTTGTGTGCTTCGGACATCCCAGACTCTGCAGGTCCCATCGTGACTCGCACTGACCAGAGTATAATCGTTGCTGGGATCTCGTGCGAGACTAACCACGGAGTTCTTGTGTCCCTTCAGCGTCATGGCGGCAACAGTGGCGGCTGACGCTCTCGGATCTATCAGTTTGATAACCCTGCTGATAGAGCCTGCTGCGATCAAGTGGAGCGACGGCATATGTTCAACACAGAATAATGCGCTCGATGTCGTTCGTGTGTCCACCAGGGATGCTGTGACGAGGTCCCACGTCCGCACGGTCTGGTCCCAAGAACTGGAGTATCCAACCGTGGAATCGTTAGAGTCGAAGATGACACCCGAAACAGGGCCAGTGTGTTGTTGCATCAGGGCGAGCGGCCCTCGTTGCGGCAAGCTTGTTTCACTCAACTTCCTCCTCTTGCCATCCTTGGTCCTGGAGCGAGGCACTTGTGCCTCCGGCGCCGCAGGCGCATCGGCTTTTCGGGTGGACCAAAATCCAATCGAGTGATCAGCGGATCCAGACAGGATACGGCCTGAGCCAGGATGAGGGCACACCGAATCTACCGAGGATTTGTGGCCGTAGAGTTCCAGTTGCGGTGTTAGGCTGGCCGAAAAGCCATCCTGTTCCTCCGTATATTTCCACAGTCTCAATGTCCGATCGAACGAACCCGATACAATCTGATTTGGCGAAATAAACTTGGCGGACTTTATGAACGAGCCATGCCCTCCGTGCGCTACACCTGGAGATGTAGCAAGAACCTGGGACGATGTGTTCCAAACTCTTAAGTGCCCATCATAGCTAGCGGAGAGAATCCTAGGTGACTGCCCCGATAAGACATCGACATCGCTAACCCAGTCATCGTGTTCGAAGGACGTAAGGTACTGAGGTGGGATCCGCGCCCGCACGTACTCAACTGTGAGAGTTGTTTCCACGGAGAGACCGTTGTCGGCCAGATATTCGTCAACTGTAGTGCGAAGGTATTTACCATTAATGAGAAACTCCAAAGGAATAGACTTCTCGCTCCCGAGCAGGCTGTTGACGAGCGTTGACAAAGCGTACCGGCGGAAGGACGTGGGAATGAGGATGGGCGCGGCGTCGTCGAGAGCAAGGTCGGTGTCTCTGGTGGTCAGTCTCACCCTGACCTGGGTATTCTGAGACTCGCCAGAGGTTGCAGCCATCTTGATAGAATCGCCACGTAATGAGCCCGGATGTTCGCAACAGACGGGTATGAAGCCTGTGGAAAATGTTCTGCGCAACCCGCATCTGCAAAAAAATTAAGTGGAGATGCAGCAATAAATGGCCCCGGCGCCTTCAGCGGCCCGCAGCCTGCGTTTGATGTCACTGCTGGCCTCCGCGTTCATTCACAGCAAACACGTCGACCTCGTTGTTCCTGAACAGGACGGACTCTGGTCCCCGTCTGCGCGAAAATATGACAGACGGAAAGGACCCCTCAGTGTCTCTGTGCGAGGCCATCGTAAATGGCACGTTCCCGCAATCAGAAGCCCTCCTGACCTCCGACCTCTCCTCCGAAACCATTCCACAGCTGCTCCGTCAGATTTCGGAGACTCGGCGGCAGATCAGTGAGGAGATCAGAGATGCCAGCAAAGATGATTCTGGCGACGTGGGTCAATGGATTGTGCAAGCCCGGAAGGTCCAGGAGGACATTGCAAGATGCAAACTTGAGTCTAAACGCATCGTCGAGGAGCATCAGCAGCTCCAGGGCCTGAGGGACCAGGCTATAGACTACCAGCGGAACGTGGTGCTCCTCGAATCGGAAATTGAGTTTACCGAAACTTTGAGAAGAGAATTACGAAGTGTCTCTCTAGCAACACAGTCCTTGAGAGAGGTTGAAGATGATCTGAAGAAGCAAGATCCATGCGCAGCTGCCACGAAATTGTGCGAGCTGAATAATACAACCGCAAGCATATTGAGATCGCGTACTTCGACTCTCCTTCGAGACCTCAGGGATGAGTTGTGTCTCAAAACCCGCGTCCAACTTGAAGCCAAATTATACAACCAGATCACGGTGCGCAGAGAACAACAAAAGGCGAGCGTCGAGGTCCTACCAACCGAGCTTGAGGCGAACGCAATCAACTCCGGTACCTTTATACATGCGTTGAACCAGCTAGGCAACTCACAAGAGTCCCTCGAGCTATTAATAGACAAGCTCAGAGCCTGTGTGCTTCAACCTCTCCGACAGTCCTCCCGATTCAAATTCGCCGCTTACGACGTGTCACAGCATAGCGTCTGCATTGAACTCGACAGAGATGGCGCGCCGCTCGACTTGGTGGTTCAATTTGTCCTCGACTTCATCCGATTCTTGCATTCGTCACTGTCCAAGACGATACAATCTGTGACGGCCAAAGCCCTCTTACCTGAGTTGATGACGATTTTGGTAAACGATTGGCTCAATCCAGGTCTACCTACAGATCTATCGACTCTTGATGGACTTGATACAATGCAACAGCAAGTGAGCCGGATTTTGGAAGAATTGAAATCTCTTGGTTGGGAGGGGCAAACTCAGCTTGAGGAATGGAACGACGACATCCACCGGGCCTGGTTGAACAAGCGGAAGGCGGCGACCCTGGACGCAGTTCGAAACGCTTTCGCGTCGTCGAAAGGAGCTCTTCGGCAAGTGGAAAGGGTTGAAAGGCAGGTCATAACAACCGCACGGGAAGAACCGAGTCAAATCGAGGGTGATGCAAATGACTGGGATGCAAGCTGGGGGGACGAAAATAAAGAGGCCACAAATAAAACGGACTCAACAAAGGGTGAAGACGAAGAAGAAGTTAGTGGCTGGGGATTCGATGAAGACGAGGATGAAACCAACCACGACACTACTCAGACAGACCAAACACGCGGCGCTGACACGGAAACCCTAACAAGTCCTGATGAAGAGGAAGAAGTGGAAGAAGCTTGGGGGTGGACTGACGACAGTCCGCGGGAGAAACGACACGAGTCAACGAGTGAAGCCCCTCCAACCCGTTTCAACGGGTCGAAGCAAGCAGAGGAAGTCGAGCAGGAAGTCACACTGACCGAAGTCTACAGCATCACCGAGATCCCAGACCACATAATCGAGGTCATCGGGAGGGACTTGTCGGATGCGGAAGCCATCCAGCACGGGACCAAGCACAAGAGTCTGGAATCGTCGGCGGCATCGCGAGGCTTGCTGGCGCTGCCTACGCTGGCACTTGCCATGTTCAGGGCCACGGCGCCAAGCTACTACGGCGCCTCGCCGACCTTGACAGAGATTCACCGATACAACGACTCGATGTACATTGCGGAGAGGCTTCGCGAACTGACGAGCAACGGCATGCCACACGTCGAGGCGGACATCAAGGCGATGGAGAGGTTCGGGCGGCTAGCCTATTCCAAGGAGATGGAGACGCAGCGCCTCATCATTTGGGATCTACTCGAGGGTGCGCAGGGGTTCGTGTCGTGTACTCAGCCCCCTTATGCCCAGGAGATCGAGAACGCCGTGTCTGCCGTCGTCGATCGTATCCGCACGCTCTACCGCGATTGGAAGCCGGTCCTGTCGACCTCGGCGCTCATGCAGAGCCTTGGGTCTCTGCTCACCATGGTCATCGCCAAGATCATTTCTTCCATCGAGGACATGGACGACATCTCCGAGCCCGAGTCTCAGCGCCTGACCGCGTTGTGCCAGCAGATCGCATCTCTCGACGACCTGTTTCTCTCCACCCCGCCCATCGCCAGCCGGCGTGACCCATCACAGGGACCGCACGAGCCTGACCTCGACCTCGACTCTGAGCCGGGACCTCCTCAGGAGCCGGTGCCCATGACCGCCGTCTACGTCGCCAACTGGCTGCGCTTCCAGTATTTGATCAACATCCTCGAGAGCTCGCTCGTCGACATCAAGTACCTATGGACCGAGGGCGAGCTGAGTCTCGAGTTCAGCGACGACGAGGTCGTCGACCTGATCAAGGCCCTGTTTGCCGAGAGCACCCACAGAAGGAGTGCCATTGCGGCTATTAGAGGCTCGAGGCAGTCACGGTAGGGTGTTACAGCATGCTGCTTGGGGATATCGGCACCGACACCGACACCGACATTGAGCATTACATCGAGCACGAGAATGGACGTACTGGCAACACTGACAAGAAATTGGTCGGGGGGAGATTTGAGTGCAATTCAGCTTGCCTCTTTGGGCCACATTATAATTCCCACGTGGTATAGGTATAGGTATAGGTAGAGGTAGCTAGGTGGGTAGAGCATGGCCATCTGACCGATTGTAACCTTGCGCCTGTCTATATCTGTCTGCCTGCTCGATCACGTTCAGTACAGTGGCTGGACTCGCTCACTGGCTGAAACGAAGCTAGGCTGGGAATCATGGTCCTAGGACCAGGGTTCCTGGTTCTTCGACCAGACCCAAGCGATCACCACAACCGGCATTATTAGAGATCGATCGACAGATCAAGAGACTTTCAAACCAACTATCAAGGCAGTCAAGTGCGAGCCAGCAGGCCACCATTAGGTCCGGTGTTCACGATCCACGGGTGTGGTTGAGCCAGAAAGCTGATAGTAGGTGCAGCTAATTAGCAGAAGAATTTGTACAGCTTTTTCCACGTGGGCCAGTTGCGGCGATCGGCGCGTTCCTGAGCGACGAGATCCTTGACATTGAATTCTCGCTTGCCGGTAAATAGATCCATGTCTCGGGCCTTGAGAATCTCAGTCTTCAGGTACAGCTTGTAGCCGATGTACATGAGCACGACGACCGGGGCGGCGAGGTAGGCCTGGAAGAAGTTGATGGTGAGCTGGGAGGTACTCATTGAGCGCCAGCCGACGGGACTGAAGCCGGTCCAGAACTGGGCGATCAAGACCAGGCAGTTGAAGAGAAAGCCGACCCACGAGCCGACGACGCCGACGGGCGAGCGGAATGCGAGCTCGTCCAGCGTGTGGCCCTGCAGGCGCCAGGCGCGGCGGAAACGGATGTGAGCGAGGCAGATGCTGCCCCAGGTGAAGATGGAGCTGAGGCCCGACAGGGCTATCATCCAGTTGAACGCATCTTCCTGTTTGTGCGACGCCCCTAGGAACGCTAGCAGACCGAGTACCGAGGCGAAGATGATGGCGTATAACGGCCGTCCTTGCCGGTCGATGTAGGCTAGGAAGGAGGGCGCCTGGCGCTGTTCGGCCAGGGCAGCCAGCGTTCGCGACGACCCGTAGATGGATGAGTTGCCGACCGATAGCACGGAGATCATGATGACCACGTTCATCACGGATGGGAGCACTTGAAGCCCGGCATTTTGGATCGAGATGACGAACGGCGATGCTCTTGACAGCCAAGGAATGTTAGTGGGTAGCTCTGACCGTGTCCGAAGCTTGGTCGTATTTAGAAAATGGGTTCATTCTGGGGTAGAGGGAGGGGGGGTCTTGTGAGAAACAAGATCGAGGGTCAAGGGTCAAGGCCCGACGTACTTTGCATCAGCATTATTCTTGCCATTTAGTAGTCGGGGATCGTCGTAAGGCACGAGGGTCCCAACGAGCAGCAGGCTGACCACGTAAAAGAGCGTGATCCGCCAAAATACCTAATTATGTGTATTGTTTAGTGGGAAGATGGCGGACAGATCCATGATAGGACGGGACAGGTCTGACCGGAGACCAGAATGACACATACCTGCTTGATTGCTGAAGGCAAGGCTTTGCGCGGTGTCTCCGTCTCCGCGGCGGCCAACCCAACCAGCTCAGTGCCGGCGAACGCAAACGCGGCTGTGACAAATGTACTGCACAAGCCCTTGAATCCATTGTGGAAGGCTCCAGGGTGATGCCACAGCCGGAAGCCCATATAGCTCCCGTCGGGGCGGCCGACACTGTCATAGCCGCCCATGATGTTCATGAGAATCCCGAGCAGGCTGTGTGTAACATGATCAGTATTGTGTATTGTGAGAACCCCCAGTGTTTTTGTAGGCAGTGGGTCTCGTACATGTAGCCTATGACGGCAGTGACTTTGACAATGGAGAAGACGAATTCCGCCTCGCCGTATCCTTTGACGCCGAAGAAATTGATTATGATGATCAAGATGAGGAAGATCGACACCCAGGCAGCATTGAGACCGAGGTCTTGCACCTGCATCTCTCGCGTCAGCCACTCACTCACTCCAAGGACTTCATTCGAAATGATGACTTGCCCAGAAATCGATCGTGATCGAGGCGGAGACAATCTCCAGTGGCAGCACTACTAGCCACTGCATTGCGTAATTCCATCCCATCGCGAACCCCCATGCCGGGTCGAGAAATCGAGTCGAATATGCTGAAAACGATCCTGCGACCGGGAACAGCACAGCCAGTTCGCCCAGCGCTTGCACGGTGCAATACATCATGACGCCCGTCAGGCTGAAGGCCAGTAGCAATGAAGCCGGCCCTCCATAAGCCAGTGCCTTGCCGCTGCCCACGAACAAGCCCGTGCCGATACTGCCACCGATGGCAATCATCTGCAGGTGTCGCCCCTTCAGCCGGCGCAGGAGAGGCGACATGGCCGTGGCCTGCGCCGCAGACTCGGCATCGTAGCTGTGTGAATGGGCGGCGCTGAAGGACGCCGATCGGATCACGCTCGCATTGGGATCTCGCCTGAAACTCTCCGTCACTCGCCGCGACCACTTCCTTTTGATGTTGATATTGGCCATATCTCCCTCGTACGCAGACGGTCCTGGGGAGGATTCTGCACTCCAGCTCTTCTTATCGTCCATCTTCGTAAGGCTCCGTTCATCGTCGCGCAGAGGCGGGAGAGGTGTCTGTCGTCGTCAATGGCAATGGCGGTGGCGGTGGCACGCAGACGCTCATGGCGAGCAGCAACTGGGGAATTGGCAGCAGGGGAGAATAGGAATGGGACGAGAGGAAAGCGAAGAGCCGACAGAGCACTGGGTGTTGGAGGTGGCCGGTGAGGCCACCAGATAGTGATAGTAGTAGTAGATAGGCCGGTCCCACTAGGCCTGACCCTGGCCTAAGCCTTTCTTCCTGATAACGAAGACGCAACGTTACAACGGCATGTCGCGACAAGCATCGAATGGCAGGAGTGCCAATTTCAGCCACTCACGTGATGCAGACTGGACACTAGGTACCCAGGTACCTATACTGATTACCAGGTAATGTCTGTAGGGATACTCTGTATTAAGATTGTACGGAGACTGGTGGTACGGGGCGTAATATCGGTCAAAGTACTTATGTTACAACCATTATGAATGCCAGTCAAGTGTCCCTGCTAAGCATGCTGGGCAATTATATTGCGCTCTTTACAAATGGCCACCTTCCAAGGGAGTGCGCTCCCGGTCGTCAAGTCGTTATACGCCAAAAGGCAGAGTGTTCAGGAGGACGAATCGAATCTTGTTTTCGTGATTCAAGTAGGGTCCGTCCCATCTTCGGATCTATGGTCGCTGGACGTTGTTGGCCCAAACGGATCCGAAAGACGGTTTGTCTTTGCGAAGCGATCTCCATGCAGCGACAAATCTTCTTTGGGCGTATGCGTCCTCGATGGTGCGTCTGCGGTCTCTTCGGCGCTGGGTGGACCAGCATTGGTCTTTGTGCTCATCACGCTTGGGACATTGCGCGAGCTCAATCCTCGTGCGAGAGCAAGTCGATGTGCGGCCTCTCGTTTTTGTTTGATTTCCAACTCTTCTTCCCGTTCGGCATGTTCCTCTTGTTGTTTGAGGTCATGCAGTGTAGGAGGTTCGGATTGCTCTCGCAAAGGGCTCGGCGAGACCGGTGCAAGGCTCTTCTGTGATGAAGACCGCTGACTCTTCATACTGGGACTGGCCAGCGATTTTGATGAGGGAGTACGTGTTCCCCGCCGTGATACCCCGGGCCGCTTGCTACTCGAAGTTCTTGTCTTCCCACTACTTTGATCTTCGTTCAAGCCTTGGCCAGTCATGCGCCGAGTCAACATGACTGCGAATTCGTCATCAAGAGGCACGGCGTCCTCTTCCTCGTCGCCCATGATAAGATCTCCTCTAGAGCTGAGAGAATTCATGGTTGATCTGGAGCCGGCGGTATCGCTCCTCTGGCGGCCGTGACCCTTGCTCCATTCCGTATCATGGTCCTCGTGCTCTTCTATCAGCGGCTCTCTTTCAGAATCCCTTACTCTAGCGCCCCCAGGGTGCTCCTGCAGATCAGCAGCTGAGGGCTTGTACCGCAGCTTGCGCGCCCCAATCTTCCAAGGAAAGCGTTCCAAGAATCCCAGGTAGGACGAGCCAGGGATGATGGTCGGGTCTTGGTGTGGGTCTGGCTCGAGGCCAGTAGGCTTTAGTCTTCCCCGAGAACCATAACTCATAGCCCGCTGCCGGCGTGGTTGACCGGAACGTGGCGCTCGGCCGGCTAGAAGACTGTCCAACTCGTCATTGCCCCATCCCAGAGAGGTGTCGGCGAGAGCCTCATCGTCGTCCCAAGCATCGTAAAAATCAAAATTCAGTTCGGCCCTGCCACGAGACCTCCCTCTCTTGCGGCGCAGGTTGTCTTCTCGGTTCGGGAAACATGGACGGGTGCAGTCGTAGAGGCAGGATTTGAGTCCGACCAGGCAGGGATCAATGTATAGTTGGGTGAATGTGTAGATATTTTCCTGGGCCGCTTGATTGGCGGACTCAAGGTTGTGAGAGATGTTATGGAGGGTCTGGCGGAATTCAGGATTGTTCATCTTCGAGGTGTGGAAGGTGGTCAGGTCGTAGGGACAAGTTCTGGCGCAAGTGCACAAAATCGAGGCGTGGACCGAGGCGCTGAAACCATGCGCTGGAGTCTCGCAAGGGCCATGCTTGGGACAGTGGTGGTTCAAGCGAGCGCCATGCCTGGACGGTGAGGCGGAAGGATTGTTGTGTCTGGGGGCGGGATGGAGGCTGGGACGGAGATGGGGACAATCACCAATATCTCACTGAAGTCCATGACGATGACGGAATATGATTGGCAGGGACGGATGGTCCACGTGATTTCCACCGTGCGTCGGATCCGGAGAAACTGTTTATCCGATCAGACGTCCTTTAAACTGACACCTAGGTATGTACAGAGTCGGCAGACCACACATCACATGGAAGGTTTCAGTAGTGCTTGAAGTGCAGTATTTCTGGAGAGCTTCATCAAGAGTATGGATTAAATGTTCCTCCCCAACGGATTGTTCATATGGTCGAGAAAGCTTGATAGAGCTACACCTTACAAGCCATCTCTGGCAATTATTTTCTTCAGCACTGGTGTTGGCAGCCGCACCATATAAAGACAGGTGAGGTTGTTGAAGGGTAGCCTAGCCCCTTTTGGCCCTCCCCCGGTGTCACGATGGCGCCCTACAAGCCGGTCAACTGTTAGAGCTGGTGTCAGTCGGCCGATTCATTCAGCGGCGACCAAGGCGTTGGCGAAACCTCCCACACTACCAGCTACTCAGCTGGTGGCAGCACCTCGGGCGCCGCTGCACTGATAGAAGCGGTCTTGGTGGGCTTCGCCATTGGGGCACAACAGCCAGGCTGCCACCAACCTTGTCGTTGTCGTCTTTATCTCTCAGCCATCGGAGTCCTGCTGACACACCCTCCCGGTGTCGGACTCAACTAACCTTTGGCATGGTCCCATACACCGGCATCGCGAGCAACGACGCCATCGACGACCATGCCGGCCCCCTTGTGAGAACCGTGTTGGATGCTGCTTTAATGCAATCAGTGGCGAGGACAGAATCGACGACGGCTTTGGCGGCGCTCCCAAGCACGGCACCGCTTCGTTGGTTGCCGATTATGTTGATGCTGACGGCACTGACCTCTCCGACTTCAGAGTAGGCATCATCTAGTATGCCTTCGACCGGGAGGTCGTGCATGGAGGTATGCCATTGACCATCTCTCGGCCACTCTGAAGTTTAGGGAGCTGGGTACCATCGTCGTAGAGGTGTCCATTCCTGGCCACTGGCTGGAAATGGCCATCCGGACCATCCAGCATCGCGTCTCAGGGTGCTTGACTCTTCTGAGTAAAGTATGCTCGGTACACAGGAGATGACAAAAGTGCTCATCAAACATCCAAGTGGTGCCGGGTGTCGATCATAATTGTCAATCCAACACCGGGAGCCAGCGACTTGACCATGATTCGGTGTAGTTCCTCCCCCTGTATCACCCCATCGGCTCGAAAATCCACAGGGTAGATGACTTGGTCGCGATTGCCCTCCCCGCCATCATCTCCTAGGGCCTGCCCACCGTGGCCGCTGTAGTAAAAGAAAAGAACGTCGGAGGGGCGAGCATCCTGCACTAGCCAGTGCATTGCCCGGAGGATATTCGCTTTGGTAGGTTGGGAATGGAGTCCGTACTGGTCATCAGTGAGGGTAACCATGTTCTCTCTTGGATAACCAAAGGCCTGGGAGAGGTAGGCAGACATGTTTTTGACGTCGTCCACGCAACCCTGCAGCTCTCCACGCTGGCCGAAATAGTTGATCCCGATCAATACAGCCCTCCGTCGTCCTCGGCCGACGAAGCCCTCCGGAAAGGAATCGGGATCATTCGACGGTGTAAGCGCAGCCTCGAGGATGGGATAGTTGCCGGGAGATAACCCAGGATCAAACGATCGGTTGGGGTCTTGCGGCGAGAGTTTTGGCAGCCCCATGGAGCAAAGATTGGTCGAGGAAGACACCTTTCATGCTATCAGCGTAGACACAGAACACGGAAGCACAAGGCATCCAGCCATATCGGCCGAACAACTTGCGCATAGGAGCCATGTTGATATATGCTTTGACGGATCCAGGCAGACGAAGGCCAGTGCAGAAATCAGTGTCATTTGGCAGTTTCTTCAACGGCAACTAATCTCAAAAGCGAAACCGCAAACGAAGAGCCGGAATCTGCTCCATCACGGCTATTGAAGTTAAAGAAGAGTGCCGACGCGGTCTGTGCAAAAGCTGGAGTACCTTACTAGGAAGGTAGAGTGGTACGTCGGGTATCTAGGATGGGCGCAGGAGCCCGCACGCCTGTAACCACCTACGTATAGGTAGCCACCTGTAGGTGCCTGTAATTGCCTATAGGTGCCTGGGGACGCAGGATGGGTACGGGTGTCGGGCACCTAGTTGGGAGATCTCTGAAGCGGCGGCTGGTCTCCGCGGAAGTCAATTGCGAGCCACAGCCTAGTCGGAAGAGAAAGCCGGAAAAAGAGGGGATATCTCGGGTAACTGACCAATCCGGTCTACAAGGTCAGCGGGGCCACGACGTCAGTAAGGTCACAGCCACCTGTGCCACAGTCGCCCACCCCGAATGGCATGTACGAGTAGATGTAACGGTCACCCTCGTATCCGTACCTTCGTATCTACTATTACCAACTACAGGTAGGGAGCCCCGCACGTGATTTAGGCAAACGCCGGATTCCGGAACAACTGTTTCACCGACAAGTCTCGCAGAAGAAGGCAAACTCTCAACCCAAAGGACCCTCCAGGGAGTGGTAGGGTACGAGTAGTACCACCACTACCGAAAACCACCTCCGCTTGCACCTCACCTCTCGACCGATTCGTCTTCGCCGGTGCTCCTACCAATGGTCCACTACATCCGCTTCCTGCGCACGCCGCAGACTCATGTGGGCAAGAAGACGAAGACGGTTGACATCGCGGCAGTGGTCGCCCTCACCACCGATCTCGGTGATGCCTACTACGCCCAAGACATCGATCTTGTGGTTGAAATCGTAGAAGCCAACCGTCCTCACGCCGTCCTCCATTCTCACACCTTGCCCTGGCAAGCGTCTTCGAGGGCTTTGAAATTCACCGTCCACTGTCCCTCCACGTACACTTCTCGGTCGGCACGGCTCCATGTAACAACCAAGGCGACCCAAAATGCATTTAGTCTCTTCACCGTGCCCAACATTCTTGACGTTTGGAGCCCAGTGTTTGTCTTGTCTGACAAGCAGCGCACGGAGCCGGTGGTGGAACGAGATCTCCTGCTTCCTAACAAGAGCCATATTCGCATGTGGGAGGAGACGGGTGACAGCATTGCGCGACACGTGTGGTAGGTGACGTTATCTGAGGTCTGAATTGACTGACCGAGACTGCAGGGATGCCGGCCTCGGCTTTCTGATGTATTTTGCCCAAGCCCTGTCACCGTCCTCAGCTACGGGCATGTCCCGTCTGACGTCGCTGATGAGGTCCAGCAAGGCAAGGCGACTAAAGGTGCTGGAACTCGGGGCCGGCTGTGGGATTGTCGGCGTGGCCTTTGCGCAGCTGGTCAAGTGTGACATGCTCCTCACCGACTTGGAGGATGCTCAGGAGATTCTGGCCAGCAACCTTCGCTGTGCCTCGCCCATGGCGGGATCGACTCTCCGATGCGAAGTGTTGGACTGGTCTACAGGGGTTGAGGATAGCTGCAATGCGAAATACGATCTCGTTTTGGTTTCCGACTGCATCTACAATCCAGACAGCAGTCTTCATCTGGTAGAGACTCTCAGACAGCTGGCCACTCGTACCCCGGGCTTATTGATTCTGGTGGGATTCAAACGACGACACCAGGCCGACACCATCTTTTTCGAGCGCATGCAGCAGACCAACTTTGCCATTGTCGAGCAAGTGAACATTCCATTGCCTCATACGCTCACCGACCATGACGCCGACGTTCCTACCGGCGAGTTTTATACCTATTGTCTCCAACCCACTCTGGCCAGACCGGGCTGAGACGCCCTGCACTTTCCACTTCCGGTCCGAGCAGTCCTAGACGAGTCCATAATTGACCGGAACGTGCCTTACCGGCGCTGCATGATTGACGATGGCGGTCTACAGAGCCATGCCCACCCTGGTCATAGGAAGTGACCCGCTGGGACTGTTGGAGTTGGCGCGGGAGGCAGGGCAAGCAGGGCAAGGCAGGGCAGGGCAGGGCAGGGCAAGACAGGTCACGTGCCACGTCACCCGGTACCGCACCGACCGGGGAGGGCAAATTCCCGCACACAACGAAAAAAAATCCTCGCCCGTCGCGATCGATTCGATCTCTTTCGACGAATTGAACGCGTTGGGATTGCCGGCCGCGTATTCCTCAGTCTTTGCCGTGCTGCAGCTTCGGGTTTGACGACATCCCCGGTCATTGGCCCCCACCAACCACTAAATAAAATTCCTTATCGACTGAAACAACACACACCCAAGCTCGTCCATTTTCCCACCATCTTCGCCTTCACCGACACTGTCACCGTCACCGTCACTGCTTGTTCCCCTTTCACAGCCAGCACCTGTGTCCTGAATGAGGCCCTGCTTCACCTGGACTCTTCTCTAGTTCGCCTTTGGTGGTCCAAAGGCACCCCATAACACGGCTTCGACATCGTTTTGCCTCCGTTTTCAAACTGCATCGTCTTGCAAACACCGACATATTCTCAACACTCGTCCACCACCTGCTGCTGAAGTCATCCACCGCCATCCCGCTGTCGTCCTTCGAGTTTGACTCCCCGCCCCCGCAAGCCCATTCATCTAAGCTGCCGCATAGGTCGACACTCGAGGTTCTTCCTCTTCGTGAGGGAGAGTCGGTGAGGCAAAGCCAACGTCCCATAGGAGCGGAATCGCGGAAACCTCCCTAACATCTGCCGGGGATTTCTTTCAACCCATTTGACTTGCCAAACCTGTTGCATGGTTATGGCACCTTCCGCGATCGCCATTGACGACAAGGAAACCACCGTTTTGAACGACAGTAAAGTCGAACTCATCGACAACAATCATGGCGTCGAATCCGATGTGACTGGCTTTGCCTCCAAGGCACTCATCCAAAAGGTCCTCAAGGAGCAGATTGCCCGGGTCGACGTCGACACCTGCGAGCCGGGCGAAGAAGATGCCTTTTATGTGGCGGATCTAGGAGAAGTGTACCGCCAGCACCTCCGCTGGAAGCTCAATCTCGGTCGAGTCAAGCCCTTTTACGCCGTCAAATGCAACCCGGACCGCGAAGTGCTGCGCCTGTTGGCGAAAATGGGCACCGGCTTCGACTGTGCGTCCCGGGCCGAAATCGACCTGGTGCTCGGCTTGGGCGTGCCTCCCAGCCGCATCATCTATGCCCAACCGTGCAAGACCAAGTCGTACTTGCGGTATGCTCGCAAAGTCGGCGTGGCCCAGATGACCTTTGACAACATGGACGAACTACGCAAAATCAAGGACTGCTATCCCGATGCCGAATTGGTCCTCCGCATCCTGACCGACGACTCGGCGAGTCTTTGCCGGTTCAGTGCGAAATACGGCGCCAGCTTGGACGACGCGGCCGAGTTGCTGCGTCTGGCCCAGGAACTCGAGTTGAACATCGTCGGGGTCAGTTTCCATGTGGGCTCGGGAGCGAGTGACCCGTGCTCTTTCGGGAAGGCGGTGCAGGATGCCCGCTACGTGTTTGACCAGGCGGCCGAGCTAGGCTACGACCTCAAATTGCTCGACGTTGGGGGCGGGTTTGTCGACGAAACGTTTGAACTATTCGCGGCGAATTTGAATGAGGCGCTGGAGGAGCATTTCCCGCACGGCGTAAGCATCATCGCCGAGCCCGGTCGATACTACGCCGCCACTGCCTTCACTCTGGCCGCGCATGTCATTGCCCGACGAGAAGTGTTGGTGGATCGGGATGGGGGGAAAGGATACATGCTCTACTTGAACGACGGGGTGTACGGCAATTTCTCCAACATCATCTTCGACCACCAGCATCCCGTGCCGCAGGTGCTATCGACCGCGGCCACAGCCGGCAGCGACAAGCTGGTCGAATACTCGATCTGGGGACCGACATGCGATGGAATCGACGTCATCGCCGACCGCTACTTTTTGCCCGGCGTCCTCGACATCGGTGACTGGTTGTTCTTCGAGAACATGGGAGCGTACACCAAGTGCTCGGCCACGCGGTTCAACGGATTCAAGGATGATCATGAGGTCATTTACATTTCCAGCGAGCCTGGGGCGTCAGCACTTCTCGGATATTGAAGTGATCAAGGCCAAGCCCATGTCGGGGACGACTCTTTGGAGGGGTAGCCTTGGTTGTTGTTTGTCTCCTTTTCTATTCCAAAAAGCCAAGGCACTGGCTGCTTGGAGGAGCTCCCTGGCGCTCTACGCTCTACCGAGTACACTGGGACCCCAGCCTAGCTGCAGAGCTTTTCTCTTTCTCTTTCTGTTATCACACACTCATTTCACACGGATTTGGACTTGGACTGGGGACTGGGGACTGGGGACTGGGGACTTTTACCCATTTATCTAGATTAGAAGAAATCCACCACATCTCCCTGCACTGTACTGCAAAGGCAGGCAACGGGATGGTTCAATTCATACGACCGTGAGATGCGGTCTGATATCGTTGTCCTCTCTCTCCTACCTCCCTCGTATCTTGCCTGACTCCCTCCACTCCTCCAGACCACATCAGGCCCGCGTCCTCAAAAAGGATAGCCAGTCTAGGTAGGCATGTATGAGAGGTGGTATCACCCAACACTGAACATCAATGGCCTTGGCCAGCTTGTGCAGCCAGCAGCCTAGAACTAGAACATCAATGGCCTCGACCAGCTTGTGCAGCCAGCAGCCAGCAGCCAGGCTGCGGGACAACTTCGATGCCTGCTGAGTCCGAGTCTCAGTCACTATCTCTCAAAGGAAGGAAAGCAGCGCCCCCGTTTGCGCTGTTCGAACCGTCCCATTGGCTCCCAACTGATTCCACCCCCCTCCCACCTGCGTTTTGAAGCTTCCACAGCCAGAGGCCGTACACGGCCTTCTCCAACAGGGCTTAGGCCAAATGGTTCATTTCTTATAATGCAGCTGGATGGGGTCCTCGGAATATAAAACAAGTTCCTACAATGCAGCTGGACGGGGTCCCCTGAATGCGGAAAAGGACACAATCCATTGTTATTGTCTGAATCGTTCCCACCAATTAGGCTTCTCTAGGCCATTCTATTTTCCCTCCCACCAAGTAGGCTTCTCTAGGTCATCCTGTTTTGCCTCCCACCAAGTAGGCATCTCTAGGCCATCCTGTTTCCCCTCCCACCAAGTAAGCTTCTCTAGACATCCTGCTTCCCCTGCCGCTCTGGACTGGAGCCACAAAGATCGGGTGTGAGTTTGCCGGACAGTAAGGCAATATCGGGCACGAGTTTGCTAGCCAGGAAGGCAGTCTCGGTCTCGCTATGTGTGGTTTCGGTGTGGGGCTTTAGCCAAAGAGCCCCTTCGAAGCATTGGTGATAGTACCCCGCATACTCCCAGTCAATGATGGAAACAACATCTCCCATCTGCGGGCTGCAAAGAATATTGTGTTAGGCCAAATCATTGTGACAGAAGCAGAAAATCTCTGCTTGTGCCTGTTGACTGACCCATTCAGTATTGGGAAACATGTCTGCAACTCGACGAGGTGGGATGACTTCTCCGCTCAATGTCCCGTTGACTCTTGATCGGAGACGTGACAGCTGGGGAAGGACCACTTGTTCGATAAACTCTTGGGCCTTCTTGACTGCTGCAGGGCGAATGTTGTCGGGGAGATCGTCAAGAGGGATTCCATCAACATATTCCGTCAGTACCGACCAGCAGCCATCACGATTTTCAATAGACAGTGCTTCGGGGACGGGGATCGTGGTGTGCGTTTTGATGAACCTCAACGTCTGGTACTCGTTCTTGATTCTGGCGGCGGATTTCCAAGGCGTGGTTTGTTTTCCATATAGATTCGTGTTGGATGGGATTTCTGTCTTCCTGAAGGTATTGTTGTCAGAGTCGATGCAATATTTCCTTTCATATGTTTCCCATTCTTTCACTGTCATCTTGATCCACTCGACGCTTTCCAGGTCGTGCTGTTGTGCAATGGCAGAAGAATGGCTGTTGTGCAATGGTAGAAGGATGGCTGTTATGCAATAGTAGAAGGATGGCTGTTATGCAATAGTAGAAGAATGGTTGTTGTGCAATGGTAGATGGATGAGTAGTAAAGTCAATCATGTCCCCAAGCGAGGCTTTTCGTGAACTGACGAGCCAGCGTATACCCCTCTTTTTGGGTCTCTGGATTGATATATTCGTATTTTCTCTACGTACATGTCAAGTAAGAAACTTCCTTCCCCTGAGGTCATGTTTACTCACGAGGCTTGCCCGATCGGCTTTCTTAAGCGGTAGAATTCGAGAGGGATGTCTTCTGACTGTAAAGCGGTACAACATGCATTCTTTTCTAGATCGATGACCAGGTGAAATCGTCTATCGTTCACCCCTCCCAAGTGCACGTAATGGTCTGTTGTCCAATCGTATTCCTCCTCACGACTGGAGTAACCGGCGAAATGAAACCAATCCTGAGTGATCATCTGATAGTCGTCGTGCCAGTGCTCATGCGCACGAATTATGACCCGTCTGGGATTCTGGAAGCCTGATGTCGAAGTCGAAGACATAGGAAAATTGCTGGAAAGGGAAGACCCAGAAAGGCGGTGAAGTTGGTTTGAATATCAATCTTACTCACGGCCTATTCTGACTAGGCTTCTTTCTGCAGCTTTCAATGGGTCGTGATCCTTGATTCGCTGTACCCGCAGAATATCGTACAGGGAGCCAGGAAGGGGGAAATCGCGCTCATTTACGCGCCGTCCCTCAGCGGCCGTGAGGCACGAGATTGGATGGATGGGATGCGAAGCTCCCGCCAACCAAAAGTCAGCACCAAGATTGGGTTGTTAGAGTCTGAGGGAGAGATGGAAGAACGTCAGTCTTGATGGTTTTGAGCGACAGTTTCAAAGCAACTTGCTGCATTGAGATAAATTGCTCCGACCAACACCCATCAATGATTCCCTGGAAAGTCAGTCCACAAGTGTTTGGAAATTCATTGGCGCTGAAATTTGCTTCGGTATACGCCGCTGTCTGGTCGTCGTCTAGTCCTGCCGTCTCGATATGATATGGAGTGATGCCGGTCTCGATCTGATACACCATACACCCAAAAGCGAGTATCAGAAGTAAATATGGTTGGAAAGCACAGCCAAGTGCTCCGTACATAGATCATGAATATTGGTGCTTTGTCCGTACAGCACTGGCTTAGAGAAGACATACCTACTACTCCGTACATCTTGCGACGTTACACAAATGTGTTAATCAGGCATCCCTCACTCGGTCTCGGTCAGTAGCAGTAGCATGGTTGGACTCCCCCGCAGGGCGAGATTGCCAAGCTAAATTGGTAGATTATTAGAGTCATTGTGTCACTGTCTTTATTACGACGATAAACCCATAAGGACTAATGTAAGATCGAGGTGTTTAAGGGCTACGCGTGCGGGAGTAGAGGATGCTAAAAGCGGCGCCCATGACCGCTGTTTTCGGCGGCCATTTCACCCACATGTTGAAGTACTGTATTAATACTCTTACTCGGTACTCCGTCATATGTGCGTACTGTACCTACCCAGGTATATATATTTTATGTAAACATCCAATATTCTCTGTACAGATACATTATTCTCTCTACCTGATACATGACTACGACTACGACTACATCTTCTACCCAGCCACGCCTCCGAAGACTTTAGAAAGCCTCCCCTCGAGTCTGTCCATCTACCAGGACCACGAATAATATAGTCCGAGCCAACATCGACATCGTCGTCGCCGCCAGCTCGGCAGATGGCACCCACCCCCGTGACCATCATCACCGGGTTCCTGGGAAGTGGCAAGACGACGCTGATCTTGAATTTGATCCCGCAGTTACCCAAGACGTACAAAGTAAGTACCTAAGTCATAGTCATAGTCATAGTCCTGGGACAGCCATTCCAACCCAACCCAACCCAACTCAACTGTTCATTCAGCTCAAGGTCTAAGGCCCAAGGTGCCTGGTGCCTGGTGCCTGGTTGGTTGGCTAGTCGGTTCCTCAATTCATCCTCCTAACACTTGTCCTCTCCAGCTCGCCCTTCTCAAAAACGAATTCGGCGATGTCGCAGTCGACTCACAACTGGCCGGCTCGGCATCCATCTCCGGGGTACGGGAGCTGTTGAACGGCTGCATCTGCTGCAACCTCGTGGGTCAGCTGAGCGAGGCGCTCTTCCAACTCCGCGACTCGGTATCGCCCAGCCGCATCATCATCGAGACGTCTGGGTCAGCGTTCCCGGCCACGCTGGCCATGGAAGTCAACCGGATCGCGCGAGAAACGCCCGGGACGTTCAGTCTGGACGGCGTGATCAGCGTCATCGACGTGGAGAATTGGAAGGGCTACGACGACACCAGCTACACGGCCAGAATGCAGGCCAAGTACACGGATCTCGTGGTCTTCAACAAATGGGAGCTGGTGGACGACCGCAAATTCGACGACGCGCTCGACCGGCTCGGCGACTTGGACGTGCAGGTGGCCTGGGTCAAGAGTGATCGCGGCTGGGTCGACGTCGATCTCATTCTGGGCATTGATGGCGCCATGGTGCGAGAGCAAGGGTTCCGAGGCGCGATTGAGGCGGGCGATACGCAACATGGAGACCAGCATGGAGATGGGACTAGGCATGATGGGCATGACGACCATGGTCACGGGCACGGGCACGGGCATCATCAAGACGAAGTCGAAGTCCTCAGCGTGGTTCTTCACAACACCGACCAATCGCAACCACCACAAGGCGTGGTTCTGCAGTCGTTTGAAGATCTGCTCCTCTCGGCGCCCAAGGACGAAGTCTATCGCATCAAAGGGCTCGTTCTGTCGTCCAAACCGCCACCTGACTCGAGCGGCGCCCTGAAACCCAGCATCGCCGTCGACTCGGAGGGCCAGAGCCTGTATGTTTTGAACTGGGCGTTTGGGCGCTGGACGTACACGCCGCTTCCGAGTACGGCGTTTCAGGCCATGGACAAGGCCAGCGCGAGGTTGACTTTCATTCTGGCCCGGGGCGAGTCGAATAAGTGGACCAGACGGTTGGAGAGGGGCGACTTTGTCGCATTGGAGGGCGAAGATGGGAAAGAGGAGAGGGGGGTATTGAAGATTGAAAAGATTGGGTGAGAGCCCCTCCTCGATGGGGAAGATGATGAAGATTAAGATTGAAAGGCTGTATACGTAGTCAAGGATATGATGCCAACGGTAACGGTGATGGTAATGGTGGCTATTTAGTAGAGAAGAGACCTGACTCGACTCTGGCCTGTTCATACCTAACGCACGCATACATATACCCATACCCATTATGGACGCATACCCATTATGGACGCTTATGATATGATATGACATGACGGGACGGTATTCAGCTGAATACGCCGAATCTGCACTGCCTTCAAAATTGGCAGCCATTTGGGACTGTGGCCTTCACGCGACTTAGCTCAACTTCGGCTCAGCCTCGATGCCAATTTCTGGTCTGCGACCTTGCAGAGAAGAGACACAAAATCAACGTAGAGAGCTGTCGTCCTACCAACATGGTCGACCAGTTCACCGAAAGTGGCATCTTCCAATGCACTCAGTTCTTCGTGCACGAGCGTAGCTTGGTGGAAGGGGGCGTGCTAGTAGCCCACAGGACGGCCATAACAAGAGCTAGGTACTGCACCAGGCTGCATCACCTTCATCTTCTAGGCCGGTTGGAAAGAGGCATGTCAAAGTCCCTCTTCAGGATTTCCGACCACACATTTCGCCTACCTGGCCACGAAAATCTAAGAGACGAAACTTTTACCCCTATGCTCTCCGATCATCTCTGTCGATGGGACTGTAGAAAGCGTATGAGCAACTGTCTCAAGCTGCTTGTTCGCTGGTATATCTAGGTATTGCATCGAGCTGAAGATGTTGACGTGCTTAGATTCCTTTGGGCAAATAGTAGAAGCCCCTGTTCGAGCTGATGCGTTACGTGCTTGGGCGCCACGAGAGTTCCACTACGGAACTACATGTAGTCAACAGTGCAGACAAGTTTCACCACGCTGGCTATCTTTGGGCCAAGTGTTGCGAGGGCGGGAGAAAGGAATCGGGAACTTTTCCTGCAGCCAACATACATGTACGTTTGGCACACTCACTATTAAATCGGCGATATGTGCATCATCTGAGAAAGGGCCCGTTTCCCAAAGTTCTTTCGAATTCGCCAGCTCAGTGTCAACACCAACATTGCGAGCGTGAGCGTGAGCGTGAGGTGTTGTGTCACAGAAGGAGCAGAGAGCTTAGCCTAAGCCTAATTATCAGGTATCTAGGTAGGCAGGTGCCCCGAATGGACACCTAAGTGTAGAGCTAGAACATAGAAGGATTTTGCTTGGTCCACGCCTAGGCAGCACCGACCACTCACATCCGGCGAAGCTAAATACGTCTCTTATAATTGCAAAGCTCGGAATTTCTGTCTACAAACAGCCGTTTCAGGACACTTTGGCGGAGTGGTTAACGCGATGCCCTGCTATTAATCCAGTCTAGGCATTTCCTTCGGGAGCGCAGATTCGAATTCTGCAGGTGTCGTTTTTTTGGTGTAGTTTTTTTTCTCTTCTAAGCAGCCTGTAGGTAATTTTAATTTATTCTTTTTATGGAAAGCGATTCCTGACCTTTTAGATATAGAGCTACTTTACGCAATTTGCAGGTGCTTCAGCCCACGAAATCCCGGTCCTGTTGTATTCACCAAGGCACCAATCTCATCTACTACGGAGTACTCGCTACAGGATTTGCTACAGATTTTCAGGAAAATAGTGCATGTCCTTTGGGGATAGACACCTAATAGTAGAATAGAATGGAACTGGAATGGTAGGGTTATATAGTACACAGCATAGCACACAGTATAGAGCACAGCATAGCATATAGCACAGTATATAGCACACAGCACACAGCCTATATCGCACACAGCACAGCATACAGCACAGCACCGACAACCTACCACCCACCACACCACACTTTACCCAATCTAAGTAAGCATTCGAAAACAGACATCATCATTACACCTATAACCACACTACAACAAACCTCGAATCTCACAACAAAGCTCGAATCTCCCCCCGACCATCAAGTCCCAGAAACCTCACGACCTGGCCGAGATGATCGAACCCCCAAAACGCCTCGACCTCGCCCCGTGCATTCCGACACTGGAACCAAGGCAGGCCAAAGGCGCCTGCGTCCAGCGCGCGGTCCGTATTGGCAACCAACTGCTTCTTGACCTGCGGCGAGGCAATTCGGTCAAGACCGTCGCGCACCACCTCCTGTCCGAGCACTTGAGACAAGATGGGCCCGAAGACGGCGGGATCGGCCAGGTTGGAGCGTCGGTCTCGGCCGATGGCGACGTCGTCCTCGTCCGTCCAGAAGGCCGCATATAACGAGTCCAGAGCGACGGGGAGCAGCTCGGGGCGGACCATGTCCAAGGCGGTAAGGAACCGCATCATCGGCAGCGTCGGTTTTGGGAAGCCCGGCGGGAAGGTGCGAGACATGGGGATGTGGAATTGGTCGGCCCATCGGAGGCGCTCGGTGTTGATCCATTTGTCTTTGTTGCGGATCTCGAGTGGTGCGCGGTTGTCGCATGCTTTGAGGAGGCCGCCGAGGAGGATGGGGGTGTATGTGATGGTGAGATTGGCAGATGAGAAGATAGGGGAGTTCTGAGGGAGAGATGGAAGAATGTCAGTCTTGATGCTTTTGAACGAAGAGCAGAATTACTGGTGGTAGTGGTAGTGGTAGTGGTAGTGGTAGTGGTAGTGGTAGTGGTAGTGGTAGTGGTAGTGGTAGTGGTAGTGGTAGTGGTAGTGGTAGTGGT